GAGATCGCCAGGATTTTCGATCTGTATCGTGGGGTCAATCTCACTCCATCCAAGATTCCCGACGTTGTTGAAGCCTTTTCAGGGTCTTCTGATGATGATTTGGAGGCTGACGAACCGGAAAATGATGTTCTTTATGAGGTTTCCTCAAGTGATGAAGATATTTCGAGTGAGAGTGAGGATGAGAGTGATGAAGAAGCCCCAGCCCCGCCACGCGGTAACCGCACATGTCCGGTACCTAAGAGGGCTAGGCTGGGTGATGAGTGGAATCGTAGCAATACTCCTCCCATCGTTGATGACTTTACTGCAACCCCTGGCCTAACAATTCCACTACCTGCTACTCCATTGCAGTTTTTATAATTATTTTTCACTAGAGCAGTGGTTGAATACTTAGCGTATGAAACAAATTTGCATGCCACACACGTCATACATCTCATGGCTGAGTCAGCAAGAAAAACGTGGAAACCAGTGTCGGTGAAAGAAATGGCCCGATATTTTGGCCCTGTGCATACTGATGGGCATAGTGAAGATGCCTACAATGAGGATGTACTGGCAGACGAATCAGATGTGGCATTGTCGATTCTTCAACTTGTTTATGTCGTCTGCTCGGTTCCAACACATTTCTAAGTTCTTCCACATGTATAACAAAAAAGGCGTTCCAGTGAATAATAGTGACCGATTGATAAAAGTTAGACCACTAATGGACTATTTTTCAGAAAAATTTGAATCTGTATATATCCCCAAAAAAGAATTGAGTCTCGATGAGGGTACAATGGCTTGGCGAGGCCGCCTCTCTTTCAAGGTCTACAATCCTAACAAGCCTGATAAATATGGTGTAAAATTTTATATGTTGGCCGAAGGGAAATCAGGCTACATATATAAATTTGATGTGTATTGTGGAATTGGAAAAACGACAGTGGAAACCGTGATGGGGTTGATGGCGCCCCTAGTCAACAAGGGTTATCATTTGTATATGGATAACTACTATAACTCGGTAAGCCTAACAGAACAATTACGTGAAGTGGGTGTTTACACATGTGGTACACTTAGACTCCAACGTGGAGCCCCCAAGGATCTGCAACAAGTTGTAAAGGGTAAAATGGCAACCGACACGACTGTATACATGCGTAAGGATAACACCTTTGTTATAGTTTGGAAGGACAAGCGCCCCGTCTCTGTCATCACCAATATCCACAATGCCAACACTACTCAAGCACAGCGCAGGAAACGCGTTCGTAAAGGTGACGGGAGAACTGGAGTAGAAATTGTGAAAATGAACAAACCCAAGGCCATAGTGGATTACAATAAGTTCATGAAAGGTGTTGATCATTTTGATCAAATGGTCAAATATTATGAGTTTGCAAGAAAAACCCACAAATGGACCAAGAAGATCACTTTCTATTTTCTGCAAATGGCCATGCACAATGCATACGCATTGTATAACCACTACTCAACAGATACAAAAAAACTAACACTATTAGAGTTTCACGCAGTAGGAATAAAAGCCTTATTGGCGTGGAACAGCAAGGAATGGCCAACAACAAGAAGTATACCACATGTTCCCGACATAGATGCCAGCGCAGCTCCTCCTGCTGACGCGGCAGTTTCAACACCCGGGCCATCTGGTGCGAGGCGTCCTCTGTTCACCTCAACACCTAAAGCCCACTCATCAACCACAAATTCTGAAATGGACATTGAGGACATAGAACCACTTGATGTTTCTGATTTCATAGAAGATTCTACTACAAGTTTGGTGGTTCCTGTAGAAGACAATATTCTTCCAGTGAATCCAAAAAATACAAGAATTATAGATTCAGAACAACGTCTCAACTACAAGTTGACGCATGAACTCGTGCACTTGGCTAAAAAAAAAAAAGATGCCGTGTTTGTTAAAAGTCTGGCAAAAGGAGGGACGTGATATATGGATGTAAAACTTGTGATGTGGCACTGTGCGCTGTGCCTTGCTACACAAGGTACCACCGAAAAAAGATATTTTGGGTGGAGAAAAAATAACCACCGGCAACAGCTTCACTCCACCTAAGAAACATCAGATGAGCAACTTCAGGATCAGAAGCCTGAAGATGGTGGAGTGAAGAAAAAATGCTCAACTGTTGATCTTCAATCAACATAGACAGGGTAAGTACACCTATTTGGAATTTTTTTCATCTATAAGAAGTTATATTATATACGTTTTGTAGAGAATTTATTTGCGAATTTTTTGGTACCAGAATGAATATTATATCACATAAACTTCTATGAGTAAAAAAAAAAAAACACAAAGTATGTTTGGGGGTGTGGCGGGTGTGGCTCGGGGTGTGGCGGTCGTGTGGCAGTGGGTTCCCTTTAGCCGTTGATATATCCAACACGTGGGAAATATTTGTATGTGTTATGTATATGTCTGTGTAGGGAATTTTACTGCGATCACTGTCATACAAATTATAAAATGTTTCAACAAGTATAAACATGACAAACATCAAACGAACGAAAACAATGCGTTCGTTTCTGCCGCGAACGCATACTGAGCGACGTGGTTCTATATTTGGCGCTTCTCTTACACATGCTTTGTACAAATGTTATACATTTCATCTTATAGAAAATTTTATTGCGAACACATTGGTATAAAAAAGAAATACGTACATAGAAAAGTAGGGTCAGGAAACGTATAAATGTATAAACTTTCCAAGCATGATTTCCCCCCTGTGTTTTCGCCAGTGCGCTCGCGGCTAACTACTCTCCACTTCACACACTCTTGCGGGTGGGCAATTACCTATATTAAACATTCATATGCATATGCCCGTGTAGAGCATTTTATTGCGATTCCAATGATACCAAAATTAGCGATGTAGGACAACTGTAGGCTTCGCAACCATTAAGAGAGTGGAAACATTTTGTTGCTGTTTGGCGCTCTCGGCGAGTGATCTGCATAGTTTTTTATTTGGTGTTGATAATCCTTATGCTTGGGCGGCATTTTATAGGTATGCTCTTATAGACAATTTCATTGCGAACACAGTGATATCAAATTTAAATACGTGCGCCTTCAATTATTGTCAGGACAGTCAAAAGAGTGTACACTTTTTCGGTCTTACGCGTAGGCGCGCGAAGTGCCGAAAGCATCTAGGGTATTGATTTTTTTTGAGCTCCGAGAGCGCGAAAGTGTTAACTATTGTTTCTAGTGTTTTGACTACCACGCTTGTTAATAATACGGGTCTATAATTTAGAGGTTCCTCTGAACTACAATTTTCATAAATTTGGTACTATGTTTGCATTTTCCAAATACTAGCTGCTAAAATTCCTGTACACAAGATGTCTGGAATATTAATTTTAGTGGACTGCTCAGCTCAGTGCACACATTCTCGCAGCACCCAAGATGAAACTCCATCAGATTTAACTGCTTTATTTCTTCCTAGCCCCATGAGTAATTTTTTCTCTCGTGTCTTGAGATACCTCTATGTATTCTATGGCGTGCTCTGGAATTGGTATTTGGTCCGGCTCTCTGAAATACTCATTTTGTACAAACACACTTATTCATTTAAGAACTGTTCATTTAACATTTGATACATTTCTTTTTCATTCTCAGTAGTTCTGTTCCCCGTTCTCAATCTCTGGATTTTATCCTTTACATGCATCTTGCTTTTAATGAATTTATAGAAAAAAACCTGGATCTGTTTTACATTTGTTTGTTATACCTTTCTCAAAGTTCCTTTCTGCCTCTCTTCTCATTGCTGTGTAATTGTTTCTTGCTTGCTTGTAGTGCTGGTATGTTTGAGGGGTTAAGCCTCTTCCAATATTGAACCCATTTTCTTGTCTTTTCCTCTGGTTCTCTCACAATTTCTGTTGAACCAATCCTGTTTTCTGGTCCTGCATCTTTATTTTGGTATGAATGTTTGTGTGCCTTTATCGTATATTTTGCAAAATTTGGCATACATCTCATTTACTTCGTTGCCTAGCAACAAGTCTGTTCAATTATACTCATTAAAGAATTTTCTAAGTTCCCCATTGTGTCCTCTCTTGACATCGAGGTTTATCAACTGTTTCAATGTCCCCATTCTCTTCTAGATTATATCACAGCATATTTAATTTACAACATGACATGATCATTCTTTCCCAAGGAATGAAAGTACTGGATGTTAAATATCTTCTTCTTTCCTGGTGAATATTAGATCCAGTATTGATGGAACATCCCCTTCCCTCATTCTTGGGGCCTGCTTGATATGTTGATACATGAATGTCTCCGGAATGAAGTTTACAAATCTGCTTGTTCAAATGTCCTCTGTTCTTGCTTCATAGGCCTCCCAGTCTATTGCTTTCCAGTTGAAGTCCCTCAGTACCAATAATCATGACTTATCTCTATCTGCTTTTACTATAATCTCTCAAAAGACCATTATGAGGCCCTCTTGATTGTCATCTAGTTCCTCTTTTGTCCATGTGTTGCTTTCTGGTGGGCTGTAGGCATTTACGCTTATCAGTTTATGATCTCAAGGGTTTTTGATTACTAATTCTCTTGCCTTCAGGTGTTCTTTCACCAGCACAGCCACTTCTCCCCCCCCCCTCCCCTTCCTAATTTTCCTGTCATGTCCTCAAACTGAGTATCCCCTTGGGAATATGTGCTCATTTAAAATATTTTCTTCAAGATTTGTCTGTTATTATGACAATATCTGGGACTTAAGCTGATTTATATCTTTTAGCTTCAGTATTTTTGTGTGACTAATCATTTAGATGATTAGTCACTCATTTAGGTGATTAGTCACACTAATCAGGTGATTTAGATGATTAGTCACACTAATCATCCCAGGAAGATGGCTTCCTGGGATTTTATCTTGTATAGCTGTATTTGCCTTATTTTCCATTTTAGGTGCTATAAGTTGAAATCAGCAATGATGATAATGTTTGGGGCTGGGTTTCTGAGGTTTTCTAAGCAGTAGGTGTTGGTAATTACAATACTGTTCTTCATATTTGGAGACTTAAGTTTGTTGTGCTTTTACTCTAAATGTTTTTTCTTACAGGTATTCCATGTGCACTGCCATATACCAACTCTGACACATCTTCCCACTGAAAATGAAAAGTGGCAATGTTTGTTATGTACAGACCTGGATAACCTTCAGCTGTATGATCCTGATGATAAAGCTAAGCGGAGATTAGGGCTGACGTTACGTGACATAAAAGTAGCCCAGAGAATACTGTTGGAACTCTACTGTAATTATGAAGCCTCTCAACCATTCCGGGAGCTTGTCGATAGAGAGGTACGTGATATTCAGGTACTGTATTATGAATGTTACGTGAATTTGTGAGTACTGTGTATTCTAAGTATATTCTAAGTATCGTATTATTATTTATAGAAAAAAAAAGGAGTTGCTTAATTTTACCCTTTAAGTGTACCAAGCTACAAACTTGCTGCTGTATATTGTAGAGGCACTTTCTGGGACCTTTTATTCCCACTGAGGGTTTAAAAACTGATAAAAAATTCATATTTTTGTTTTACTTGTAAAGTACAGTATTGTTACTATAACTTTTAAGACTACCTAAACCTGATTTACCCTTTGTTAATACCTTATGAGGCACCTTGTTGCCATATGCTGAACCTGTTGTCTATAGAATTCCTCATTTAGGGTGACTCCAGAGACAGTATCCAATGACATGCAAAAGACACTTCGATTGGGCACTGTTAAGTATAATATTAGCATCATTAGAATTCAAACTGCAGTAATAACAACAGTAGTTAAATGAGTATAACCACTGTAGTCCAGGTGATCAATCTTGAGATTCTTCTTCTTGAGATGATTTCGGAGCTTTAGTGTTCCCGCGGCCCGGTCCTCGACCAGGCCTCCACCCCCAGGAAGCAGCCCGTGACAGCTGACTAACACCCAGGTACCTATTTTACTGCTATGTAACGGGCATGGGGTGAAAGAAACTCTGCCCATTGTTTCTCGCCGGCGCCCAGGATCGAACCTGGGACCTCAGGATCACAAATCCAGTGTGTTGTCCACTCGGCCGACCGGCTCCCTCCCTCCCGGCTGATCAACAAAAGACAATGACTGTAACGTTAAGGGTTAATGAAGTACTAATCTTCAACTTGAATGTGATTGTGTCATCATGGCCAAGTGCCCCATTTTCCACTTTTCACAGAATGGAGAAGGTACCCACCAGGGAGAAAGTGGCACCTAGCAGGTAGGGATGTAAAAGACGTGCAGGGAAAAAAAAGTTAAAAAATATTGCTGGTTACCTAAACTTTCACGCTACCTTCCATGATTGATAGTATTACAGTATGTTAGTACTGCTAACATTTATATCTTGCTTTATCTGCATCTCTGACAGATAGCAACATTTTTGCTTTGTTCCAACAGCTGACAGAATACTATGAAGTCATCAAACACCCTATGGCTCTTGAAACTGTGAAGCAGAAACTTGTACCAAGCAACCCTGAACATTATAGGTGTCTTGAAGACTTTGTACGTGACATTCGGTTAATCTTCAGAAATTGTTACGAGTTCAATCCAGTAAGTACTGAGTATAGTGAGCATAGCTTTGACAGTTTACTGAACATTATTATATTGAAGGAAAAAATTATACTTGTTAGGCAGTTTCAAGGTTTTATGAAATTTGTAAATCATTGTTTGCTCTTAGAATCTAATTTAAATTATAGATAGAAAAAAATTCCATTGAAGAAAACCTTTAAATCTTTTAACTTGTCTGGGTTTAATACTTTATTGGCTACATGTAATTTTAATTTTTTTTCCACAAATAATGTAAAGTGGAGGTATTGGTTGCATTAGTATCCACAATATACGAGTCATAAACATGTGTCTACCACCTAAGACAGACAAATGAGTTACACTCAGTGGGTCAGCTAAGTGATATTCAATGTTTTCAGGAATATTCTTGCATGGGCCCTAAGACCATGCAGAAATATCCCTGACAAAAATTTTTTTTCTTTTTTTGTCTGTTACATTACCGATCACCTAATACCTCCACCCAAATTATGAATATCACCATTATCACCCTACCATAAGTCATCACCATTACCACCCTCCCATAAGTCATCACCATTATCACCCTACTATAAGTCATCACCATCACCACCCTCCCATAAGTCATCACTATTTCCACTTAATTGTAAACATCTGACCACTATTACTACCTTACCATAAGTGACCACTATTACAACTTCACTGTATGTCATGACATCTATTATCACCAGTCAATGGCTCATGGATCAGAGATATGACAAGGTCTTTGTACTTTTCTGGAAAGGCTCCATTGGTGGCTCCTGATGCTAGTGCCCAACCACTTGGGCTGGATGGTAGAGCGACGGTCTCATTTCATGCAGGTCTGCGTTCAATCCCCGACCGTCCAAGTGGTTGGGCACCATTCCTTCCTCCAGTTCCATCCCAAGTCCTTATCCTGACCCCTTCCCAGTGCTATATAGTTGTAATGACTTGGCACTTTCTCCTGATAGTTCCCTTTCCTTCTTGTTGCTAGCTACCTGGATAACTCTACCCAATTAAATTTATGCCAGGCTCTTGCAAGTTATTATAAGCCTACAAGGAACCAGTGACCCTAACCTGGTTTCCTCTGCAAAGGCACAAGGTGCATGAAGATACAATATTAGATCACTCAGACCAAAAGAAAGGTACCAGAAAGTTGAGTGAAGCAAAGCAGACAATGAGCAGTAAAGATCCGTCTGCGTTTGGCATCTATGATTTTCATCGAGTGGCCCGTGACCGGTGCTTCATCCTTGGTCTATCCTTCTGAACCCAGCAAGCCCTATGCATACCTGTCATATATTTCTCTATGATTCTGAGGATCAGTGTCCCCACACCCCACTTTGACCTGGCTTCCTAGTTGGTGGTCTGGTCAACCAGGCTGTTCGACAGGGCTGCTTGCAGCCTGATGTACGAATCACAGCCTAGTTGATCAAGTATCCTTTGAAGGTGTTTTATCAAGTTTTATCAAGAGGTCAGCCAGTTGTGCCTCATGTGTGTAAAGGGGGAATTCTGAAAAGTTTTGGGCCTTTGATGCTGATTTTTTTTCAAATCAACATCAAATCTCAAATTCTCTCAAATTTCAGGGCAAATTCTCTCTTTATACCCTGTTACACCTCTTGAATTCTCTCCCCCTGGCTTTGCCCTGTTGCACCTCTGCTTTTCAATGGGGCTATTTTGCACATTCTGCCTTCATGTCTCGTGTGGTGTTACTTCTGTGTGTAGATTTGAAACCAGTCCATCTAGTATCTTTTCAAGTGCCAATTATTATATATACCTCCTGCCTGCACTCTAGGGAATACAGATTTACATTTTTTTAAGCAGTCCCAATAATTTAGATAATTTATCAAGTAGCTTTTAACAGAAAAATGTCTTTCATGCTATCCTGGTCAGCAATTTCTCCAGCTTTGAATTGGGATGTTAGTGTGAGATTCTAGTAGTGTGATTCTAGTATTTCACTCTAGAGAGCACTGGTGTCTTGTTATATTCTGAGACCCATTGTTACTATCTCCACCACACTGCCTGCTGGGTGGATGATATGTTCCATGCTGAGGCCTGTGATGCATCTAAGGATTTTGGAGTCTGGGGGTTGATTCTTTGAGTGAGGTTGGGCCTTCTCTGTGAATGGACTCATCCACTTAGTGGCAGAGGTAGTTGAACTGCTGCTTCTTGTCAAGAAGCCATTTCCTTCTCTTTCTTGAAGGGTGGTATTGCAGCCATGGATCCTTCCTTGTGGGAAGCCCCCTTTTCTGTCCTCTGTGTGTGGCACAGAACAAGGCTTTGCCCTGGAGCCTTCATTTCCTAGGGTGTCCTGGGCTGGGGGGAAGGGATATCCAAAGGAGCATCATTGGGTCTTCTAATCTGTCCTCTCGAATAATATATCACATTTTGACATCAAAATTCCCAGTGGACAAAATATGATGTACTGTATATCAGACCACAAACATTCATGTTTTCTGTGTGTGGGTCAGTTGGTTAGGTTAGGTTCAGCTAATTTGATATATAATTTTCTCTCCGTTGTGGGAACTTGAGAGTACAGACTGACCTATACGGACTACGTGGGTGTATGGACTACACCCTGATTAGTTTCTAGGGTAGACCCCCAGAAACTCAGTGAAGCTGTCTTGCTAAGATTGCTCCAGGCTGAAAAGTCACATCAGCTATGGAAGTTCTCTTTGACCTACCAGGGACCAAAGACAAAATTTGGCTTTGCCTCAAAGAGGCACAGGGAGTGGGTGACAGTTTACCATCCCATCGGTTAAACATCCAGAAAGTCATCAAAGCTCTACAGACACCTGGAGGTTTCACAGAAAATGAAGCCTCAAAACCACCAAACAACTCTACAAACGATTCACACAGAATAAGAGGCACTAGCTTGAAACTCATTACTACCGATTACCACCATGAGGTCACCTTGCTCTTGCCTACTGCCAGCTTCCTCAAGTCAGTTTTGTTTCTGATGTTATAGTGGAAAGTTCTACCAGTAGTGCTCTGGTCCGTCAGTTGTGGGCAAGCCCCTCTGCTTCATCCTAAGTGCTAGTCATTTTTAGACTTTGCCTTTCCTATGAGGTCCATTTGCTTGTTTTGTTCATCTTTTATTTTAGTATTTGCTACACTTTTTTCCATCTCCATTTTCTATCTAGCTTGTTGTGTGGGTTTAGCTTTTGTTGTAATTTGAGCTGCATGCGTGCAGGGCTGTCTTCCATGGGTGCCCACTAGTGCTGCACCTTGCACTGACAGAGTTATCTTTTCTGGTTGGTTAGGGAGTCCAGTTCAGGGCAAGCCACCAGGGTGGAGAGCTTCACCTTGGGCTGTTCAGGAATCTTTGACTCCTCATTTGGGGCCCTTGGCTGGGGGGTGTTTTTTTCGGTTATAATTACCTAAGTGCAGTTGCAGGATGAGAGCTTAGATCGTGGTGTTCCTGTCTTCCCAGTACTCTTTGTCATGTGATGCATTGAATTTTTTTTTTATTTGGCATCCATCACCTTCAAAAGGTATAAACATAAATTTTGGCAGAGAAACTTAAGATTTCACATTTAGTCTAGGAATCTTGGCCATATTTGGTGACTGTACTTGTGGCAAGCACTCCCAGTGCTTGGGTTCCCTGCTTAGTTAACTGCCTTCCTGCTCTGGTAATTTCTTTGTGGGTCTTTCTTAAAATCGGAGTTGAAGAATCTAAGATTCTAAGAGTCTTAACAAGTAGACTTGCCAAGACTAGTGTCTAAGCACTTGCTAAGACTGGTGTCTTAGCAAGTCTACACATGCTTTGTGCAGGTTTATTGGATACTCGTCAGTACTGCTGTGGGCTGGCAATCATTCTCTCTGCCTTGCACGTACTTCTATGGTGTCCCCTTCTATTCCGTAGGGCTTTTTATTCCAAAGCTTGCCAGACAACTGCTGCCTTGCAGGTTTGGTTTGCCCATGTTTGGGTTCACAGCTTAGTGCTCGTTTGGATGTCCCAGAGTTGGTCCTTGAGGCTTTACTGATTTTTGGTGCTCTATGCCTGAGCTTCATCCTTGTTTTCTTTTCCTTCCCTGCTGGCTTTGCCCTTTGTTTGATCTGCTCTGGATTTTTGCTTGGCCTTCTCTGTGAAGGGAACGGGAATTATCAGGTGAAAGTGCCAAGCCATTACGACAATACAGTGTATAGCACTTGGAAGTGATCGGGATAAGGATTTTAGATGGGACGGGGGGAAAGGAATGGTGCCTAACCACTTGAACAGTTGGGGATTAAACTCTGACCTGCATGAAGCAAGACAGTTGCTCTACCGTCCAGCCCAAGTGGTGAGGCAGCTTTCTCTGTGAGTGGTTCACATCTAGTTCGATAGTAGATGCAGTTACTCTGCGTCTTACCACCAGGAGTCCAAAGAGTTTTCCATCGTACCTTTCTTTTCCTCCGCTCCTTCTCCTTAGGTTGACTTCTGGGCATTGAGAGTGGATTGCAGCTCTGGCTCAGGGCCATTTCCCAAATTTATGAAAATTAACTTCGTTGAAAATCCAATTCCAATAACTTTTTACCTTTTATAAAGCTTCCCTGTTTCTTAGGATACCTTGCTCACCATTGTGTCTTTTACTTTCTCCTCACTACTACTGGCTTGTACATTTATCTTTAATATTTCTACCTTAATTCAGGTGAAAGGTTGAAAGATTTATCAAAATTTAATTATCATTTTATATTTTTATGAATACCATCCACCATTACACACTTAATTATTCACTTTCTTTACTACATTTACAGAAAGACACAGAGATCTACCAGAATGCTAAGATCTTGGAAGATTTCTTTGAGCAGTTATTAGAAAAGTGGCTGACAGACTATGCTTTCGATGCCATGGACACAATAGATGAACCAGACACGCCAGAGCCAAAGAAGAAAAAGAAAATCAAGGAAGGCGAAACCTTACTTCATATCCACTGAAGTCATGTTACCGGATTATGTTCTCTGAGCACATATATTTTTGGTCAAGATTTTTGCAAGTATACTACTGTGTGTGTGGTGTGTATGCTGTCAGCATGCTTGTCTTGGGCAACTGGTGTCTTAACACCTGTGTACCTCTTGGAATTTAATAACTGTCTTAATTAAATAAGACATTAAAGGCAAGCACAGGATCAGATGAGCTATGTAGGATGTTTTTTTATTGCATACATTCAACTTTACAAGTACTGCATCAAATTTTATTTTTGGAGATTCTTCAACTCCTAAAATTTGGTTACTATGCTGTTATTTTTGCACATGAGGCAAAAGCTTATTTATGACCAAAGATCTGTAAAAGTTCTATTTTTTTTCTAATTTAAATGTTAACAAAAATGTAAGTTATCAATTTTGCACGACAATTTTGCTCAATAGCACCAGGTTTTCACTTCATAAAAGGAGCAAACATATATTGGGTAAACAATGAGAAGGAAGAGACTTTTCTCTTCAAAAACTCAAATCAATTTAAATGGATTCTTTTATGTACAGTATTTAAAACTATTGGATATTTCATCATGATGTATGATTATACCAGAGATACTGTACAGTGAAATTTTTTTGAGGCAATAACTGATAATCGTTAATAACACAGCCAAATTTATTTAAATAATTAAAAACTAAGTGCAGTATTTAATACTCGTTTAAAAATGTTTTTCGTGCATTCGTTTCATTGTGAAAGATGAAACTGTTACTACATTTGTTTGAGAGATTGGATAGGATGGGCATTGTTACCCAGAGTGTCCCAAGAAGTACCCATTTCTATTTCTTGAACACATAAAATAAACTAACTTTCTGAGTGAGTAGTAATAGTGGTCTTTATATTTAATGCTCAAAAGTTTTCCACCTTCCCCACATAAATTTCTGGATATAATCCATTATTGTTCTCCCTTAATTTTTGCAGACCACAATATTTTCTGAAGTACAGTATATTGAAGTGAAAATAAAAAAAGCAACCCAATAAATATTGCCCATGCTATATATTTGTATTTATGTGTGAATATGAAAATAAACATAGTTACACAATTCCTGGAAAATAAGGAAATAAAAAAGGGTACCTATTAGGGACACCCTGTAAAATCCAGAAGGCTTTTTGGTGTGGATTAATTCATCACTCGATTCATATTGAATTTTATTTTACTTTTTTTATGGCATAATTTTTATATTACTCAAATAGTGAGTTAACTATAGGAGAGCCAGGCTACAGAGGAATGTTGACTGTACCAGTGTTGGTGTCGAGGGAACGTTACTCTGGGGTATTGTGCATGTTATGAGATACATGTACAAGACTTTGATAAAAACTAGAGAGTTGTGTGTAAAACCTAATCCATCTTAAAGTTTATTACAAGACAGGATCCAATGATATGGATTTCAAGTGATTGTTGCTGGCTTCTAAATGTGCCTTTGTATCACTGCTCTAGACAAGACCAAGGATATATAAACTAATTTGTTTGACTCATACTCTTATCATTTCTGCCATAAAAAAACAGTGTAGAGGCTTACTTCTTTAAGTTTTTAACACTGATCTCCACTTTACATCTGTATGAGAATTCTTTTTTGCAGGTGTTTTCATCAATATGTTTTGAATATATGATGTGGAGATGGTAAGTCATTTTCTGGACAAGGACATTTTAGGGAAAGTTCTGCATTTACCAACCTTTGTGAAAAATAATGTTACACACAAGATGTGTGTTGATTTAAAGGAGACTTGTGGATAACAAGCTCAGAAACTATAATGTTGCAGCATTATTGAATCAAATATAGTACTGTATAAGCAATAAATTTTGTATTTATAATGAGAAATACAGTGTGCCTATTTAATGCACTTAATGTAGTTTAGCTCTATGAGCTTCTCTTTAAATTAACAGGCATCAAGAAATTTATAATTGTAAGTGTTCCTAGTGAGAGATGAATTCTAGATTAGTGAACAAGTTACATTATAAATCATGTTGCACCATTCAAAAACAGTTCAAGTGGGTTTCAAACATATATTTCATTAATGGTTTTCAAGGAGGTACTGTGGTTGCTTGAGTATTTGTGTTCATTGGAAGAAAAAAATAGTCTTGAATTCTGACATTGGAAGATTGAGCTGGCTCTCCCTTATTTTGTAAGCAGTCAGATGTTGATGCCTTAACTAACTATTAATATTTTCACATTTTTATTATTAATGTCTAAGGTGTTGAGTGTGTGTGTTAGATCACATTTACCATTCAGGCATCAACCAGTATCACAGTTGCAGTGTACCTTGTGGCATTCTCTTTATGATAAGGCCAGACACCTTAAATGTGATGAATGAGCTCCTACATACAGTATTACTTGATATTAAGAACTAGGTGAGATCTTCAACTTGGATGTGCTCTAGGTAATAAAACAATATTTTCCTCATGGCAAACTGATAGCTCGGAATTACTGAAATTCTTCTCGGTCAGTGTGCATTGTTGTTTACTCGAACTTGTATGATCGGTGGAAAATGCCATAACATCTCGATGGAAAAAATGTGTTCCATAGTCAGCATATATACATACTAATGTTCAATGGTGGTCATGGAAGATATACTACAACCTTTTTAGAAAGGGTCTTTGTTTGTTTTGTAAATAGTGTCTTTACTTTTGTTGGAAAATGCAAAAACAGGAGAGGACTAGTTTTGTAAAATAGTAATGATACTTGCTCTAATTGCAGAGCAATCACTTTTCCTGTATTTATTTTCATACCTCACTGCATATTGAAGTGCATGATTGCTATGTCACTGTGACTGATTTGAATACAGTACAATATTCAACATTTTATGTCTTCAGAAATAATGGTTAAACATTTTGCTGTTATTGTTTAATGAATATACTCACAAAATTGTGTGTTGTCTGGAAAAATTGCAGCATTTCTGTGTCCAGGGGGAAGGTGTAGTATACCTGACATATAAATGAAATACTATATTTTGTTTTGGGTACATGTTATAAAATATGATGAAAAGTTTTTAATGTATACATACGAAATGGAAAAAAAAAAAGGTTTGTTTGCTTCTTTAGCTGTGGAAACAGAAGTATCCATACATTTACTTGCTTTCCATATGTTATTTGCACCTAGTGGCTCAGTGCTAGGACTAAATTATTTATATTAGTATACTCTATTTACTGTTGTACAGAATCTCTTGATCACTGAATTCTTTTTTACGACTTGGTACAACACCATTCAGTCTGGTTTAATTCATATGTGACAGCTCTCACTATACCTTATTCTTATACCTTAATATTCCATAATCTACCAATCCCTCGTCTGTAGGCAAAACCAAGTAATGTGATTAGCATTGAATTCAGTGCCATACTGACGTTAGTTCACAATAATAGTGGATTAGTAATGAGATAATTGTTCATTTATTTAATATCCAATATGGTGTGATATTTTATCTTGCAAAATTGTGATTACAATTCTGACTTTACTTTCTCTTAATTTTTTAGTTTTCTTTAATCTTTTAGGGCTGATATGACTTGTGGTGCCTTGCACAGGTCACAAGCATTGGGTGCAGCTTGTTGTACATAGCAAAAGCCAAAACATCTGGTTATTGAATATATATAAACTTGTAACTGAAATACTTGGTCAATTTTATGGAAGTCAACATAATTATTTTCTGATGAATGGTATGAAGAGTATGTTGACTCTTACTGGAAACTTTGACATGCTTTCTGCTCTCATGTAGTGTAAGTAAACAGCATTGTAAATGTAGCAGTTATGGATTTTCTCAATCTGTATAGGCTATTTCATCTGCTGCTGTTCTTTGAAGGTAGATCATGCCCCCCGAGACTAATTATTAAAGAGATGGCACGTCATTTTACCATGATAAATATTGGCTACAAGTATGTATTTGCCTTGAGTTTTTCCCTGTTTGTCATAAGACTGAAACCTTAAACTCTCATGGAAATGCTGTAAGGGAGGATTATAGAGTAGGACTTGGTTGCATCCTGTATTTCAGAACTGTAATGGAATATGTTGCAGCTCTTTATTATAAATATATTTAAGCCTCGGTTTGATGTTTTACTCTACATGTAACTAGTTTATGGTACCATTTTGAGTTTGATATGACATGTGGAACCAGACATGGTTTCCATATACATTACTGTACTTTATAAAACTAGTGCAAATCTGCTCCTTACAAGTTGTTATATACAATCATGTCAAACATTCACTACCACCTCAGAAACTACCATCACCCATCTGTGCACCCTGCCATTTCTCATGCATTATTAATACTCTGTAACAACATTCTCTCACACTCACTCTCCTTGTCTGTCCATCATTATCATTTTGTACTATCAAATTCACATAACTCAAGCATTCTGGAGTTTGTTGGCACACCACCCCCAAGAAGTGTAAATAGGGTTGAGCAGGATGTTACCCTTCACCGAGGAACGGGGAGTTAGCAAGGAATTATTATGATGAAAGAAAGAAAGCATACAAAGTAAATTAAGCAATACAAACAACTGCAATGTTCACATAAAACAAAGCATTAATACACCCAAATGACTCTGCACCTGATTCCCTCGATTCCAAATAATTCACTTGAAATCAGCTCGAATCCCCAAGCAAATGGCTGCCAACAGGTAGCACCCTGGAAGCTTCAGGCTTCCACCACAGCATTGAGTCAGTATTGATGATGTCTGAGCTATCATACTTCCTCGAGTTGCCAGACATTGGCGATTCCCATGTCTTTTCGAAGACAAATGAAGGTCGTACTTTGGATTTGTCTTGTGGGGGCCATTTGTTTGTGTTAGGATTCCTCCTTTTTAGTATTTGCTTTATGTGTATATGTTTACAAACCCCACTTATTGTATGGACTTGGTTTAATATTTACTACATGCTGCATGTTTTTTAGGATCTTTCCCAAAGCAATCATTTAGTGTTGCCCCTGCACTGACAGTGACTTCTCTGGTGTGTCTTGAAGTTAGCCCTTGAGAGGCCTGGCCACCAGGGTAGAGAACCTCACCCTGTGCAGTATATAGGTTGCTGGCATCTCTTTAGGGCCCTGCAGTTGAGAGCATTCTGTTTTATTGTGAGGTGACTTGGGGATTTATGCAGTGGTTCATACAGCATGCTAATGACACCCTTCGTTGCCAAGTTTTTTCTGCCGGCTACATTCAGTTCTTATGACAAATGTCTCTAGTTGCAGGATGTCCTGTGTGGTTACATTGCTTCAGGCCCTGGTAACTCCTCTGTGATTGTTGCATGATGCATGTTGGTTGACCCAGCAAGCCCACTCTCGCAGTTTACGAGCTTGAGGGTTGTTCTTTGGTTTTGCTACCAACTGCTACTACCTGTTTTGCTACTAACTGATGATCAGTTCTACTGTCTCGTACTGCTGTCTGTTGGGTGGGTGTTACCCTCTACCTCCTTCTTTTGGTTTTGGTTTCTTTGTTTTTGTAGTGACAAGGGTCTTCAGACAGCTGCTGCTTCAGGTTCATTTGCCCATTTGTGTGTGGCTTCATGCTTGGGTGGTTGCTTCAGAGTTGGTCTATTTTGTTTTTAGGGTTTTGGGGTTGAAACAGCCGATGTTTTTATTAGTGCCTATTTCACTGCTTCTCCTCCTATCATCTGTCTGGCTTCATTGTGTGGCCAGTTTGAAGGCCTTGGGTAAGTTTAAGGAGGAGGTTTACAAGGCCTTGTTCTGAAAAAACAAACCCTGAACACAGACTAAACCAACATGGCTATGAAGGGTTACTGTGGTGTGCTGTATAAACAAGCATGCTTGTATCCTAGCACATCCTTTCCAACCAAATTAATCAATGACTCCTGCACATATTGTTTTCTCCTTCCACCCCCTATATTTTGTGTGTTGTCAATGTATTTTATATAAAACTTTATTACACAAAAAGGGTTACAACATTGATTACATGCAAGGTACAAGGCTACTTGTCACAGGTTGTAGAGTTCCTCCAGTTCCTCAGATAGTGGGCAGGAACCATGGATGCAGTGTGCATTTCCTCTCTGTATTACCACAATAAGGCACTGAAAGAGGATCTAGTAGTTTCAGAGGATCTACGGTCTCGTAGCTGTTTCAATTATCTTAGAACCCAGCTCCTTCAAAAAACTAGCAGCACTTTTATCCCAGGCACCAAATGTGTCTAAGGCAATGGAGACAAAATTGTAGTGGTAATCAAGATCTCTGTATTTACGAGACTTGGCCGCTTCCCGGACAAAGTAGCTGAACCGCCTGGATGTGCAACACTGAAGTCAACATAGGTGTTGGCTAAAGTTGAAATGCACATGTAGTCCCCACACCAATTGTCTACCATTCTTCCAGGGGTTCACTGTGATCCCATCTGGGCGACCAACAGGCTCGTCAGAGTTAAGGGGCATTAGGTAAAAATGAGGTTCTCGCTCTGCTGGACAACCAGCTGTGGTAAGGCTCCTCTTAATAATGTAATTTTCCTCGCTGTGTCTTGCATGCCATCCTCCTGTGCTTTGGCAGAGCAGGTCATGCCAGCTGTACCTGTTGGGCATTGTCTCGCTGCAAATACACCTATACAGTATTCGGTGTGGATTGGGGCAGCAAGGCAGAGAGCCACAGCAATTCAGAGGGCCTGCGGTGCGAGATGTGCACCAGTTGCTGACATTGGGGTTGCTAATAGGAAGTCACCTGCATGGAGAGCTGCTACAACTCTAAGTTGGGCAGTGTCATGTGATGGTGTTGCTTCTAGGCATGTTGCAGCTGCTTGGTCTACAATGGGGCAATCCCATCTAGATTGTTTGTGAGCTTTAGAAGGTGGTGGTTGGAGTGCTGGTCCTGCAAGAGAGACCCATTTGGTGTTGCAGTCTATAAAACTGGGATCTTTTATTCCTGCCTGTTGACCTAGGTAATAAGGTAGGATTTCTTTCACCAGGTTGTCAGATCCCACTGAAGAGGACAGGAACGCTAGTACAGCAATTTGTGTTGCTGTGCAAAAGCCGAGGCCCCCGAGTTTAACAGGAAGGGAGGCTTGTTTCCACTGAGTCACTGCAAGAAAGGTTGAGAGCTTTTTCTTACATTGAATTCAGAAAGCTGTCGTACTCTTCTACCTTAATATTATTAATCAATGGCGAACATCTAAGAAAGTAGGTCAGCCTGGGGAGGAACAAGCATCTGGTGACGAGGTAAAGTGCGTCATGTGCATCAGTGTCTTCAATCCTCTCATCCATCCTCTTCAGGTCAGTGATCATCTTACCAAGGACCTCGTCGATTGTCTTCCATTTAAGAGGAGCTCCAAGGAGTGTGCTGTCCTCAGGGTCGGTTATATAGGTATCAGGCAAAACACCCTTTATTTGCTCAATAATGTGCTGGTTGGTAAAGGTTATTTTACACTTGGAAGAGTTCAGGGTTATGCCTAGACTTGCTGCTTGCTCCTGAATTATTCTTATGTCCTCAAGGAGGGAGTCTGGGGAGCCAGCTAGAGTACCATTGTCCTAAAAACAAATGTTGAGCTCACTGGACAGGTTATTACTGACTTCCTTGCTGACTAGGCAGAAAACAAAAGGAGCAAAGGGGTCACCCTGTTGGACACCTTCTTGTGATTTGATTTCAAGTTCCCGAATAACAGAGTTAGGTCCTTGCTGTAACAAGAGTGTACAAACGAGTAGAGGGAAGAAAAATAGCGCATGGAGTACTGCATTCCTTCTTACTAGATTGAAAGCATTTTTGAAATCCAGTTTGATCAGGGCCTTTTCTGCTGTAATGTTGGCAATGTAGGATCTAGCTGCATGAGCAGCTAGATCCAATCGCCATTGATTGGGAATGCTAACCCCAAGCTGTTTTGGCATGTTGGCTGCTGCCTGGCTAATTGTTCTAACAGCAGCCTTAGCGACGAGGAGCTGGAGTGAATTGCCCACAGCTATTGGTCCGATTCCTCCATCCTTTTTCCTCAAGGCACAGAGGGTAGCGCCAAAAATAGAAAGGCCGTATGGTCTTGGTATGTTGCCAGCTAGGCATGTGTTGGGAGATTAGAAAGTTCCAACATGAGGTCCTGTGCAATGTCTCCCAGTGCAGGGTTAAGCAGTTCAAAATCAAATAAAATCAAATGTTTATTCAGGTAAAAGTGCATACATTCAATATGAGTTACAAACATAATGTTGGATTTCTAGATAGAGCTGGTACATACTATGCCTAAAGCCACTAATACGCAGTGTTTCGGGCAACATTGATAGTTGTGAAATAACCAGTTGTTTGATATGGTTGGGTCTTAGTCCTGTGAACCCACCTGCTGATCATGGTGGGAAGGATAAAGCTGCTTTATGCACCACAGATTCGACCACACACGGGTTCTGCTCTGGTGACACCAACTGACTGAATACTGTAGTCACGTGGAGCTCTGTGTTTGTCTCTCAGGCCTTGTGCTGTATTCAACCCATCCTCCTGTTTTGGTAGTACTTATAGTAACAATGAGGACCATAGTACTGTATATATACCGACGTACAACAAAATTAGAACATAGAAAACTGAACTATTGAGTTGGACAAACTGGAAAACTATTTTTTACTTGTGTTGCTTTGACAAACTAAACTAGCATATCCTAATACCGATATCTATGCCTAATACCAATATCTGAGGCCTAATATATTACATATGTGTGCTATACTAGGCCTAGGAATATTTAAGTTTGTGTTCTAGCTTCATTTATTTGAAAATAATTCCTATAGAACAATCCTCCAGTTTAGATAGTTCCTATTGTGACGATCGTCAATAGTCATGAATATGTACATATTTAGCTTTTAGATAGTAATAGTCTGACTAGTAAGGAATTATTTTAAAATAACTGAAGCTAAAAAAACAAACTTGTCCCGCTATTCCTAGGCCTAGTATAGTAATTGAAAGTTGCATTATTTGAATTTACACTAATTACAATTCATGGTAATATTTCTTAGCTATCTGCAGGCTTATCACTTTAGGGGTTCCGGCGGAGCACCCCCAAAGATACCGGAAATGCTTAGCAAGCTAGAACAAGTGCCCCCTGAGCCTGCCTGTGCGTCGTCCCTTGGAAAAGAAAACAGGGGATGCAGAGGATCCAGGGAGGAGGGTGGGCGTTTTGTAAGTGAGCAGCTGCTTGCTTGTCGAGAACAGGGGGCCCCCCAGTGATTGATTGATGAAGATTAAGCCACCCAAAAGGTGGCACGAGCATGAATAGTCCGTAAATAGTGGCCCTTTTGAGCCATTACCAGTATCAAGAGCTGATACTGGAGATCTGTGGATGACGGGAGATATCTCCCGTGGCCCCCCAGTGATGATGAAGATGAAGATGAAGATGAAGCCACCTAAAAGGTGGCACGGGCATGAATAGCTCGTAAGTGGAGGCCCTTTTGAGCCATTACCAGTATCAAGTGCTGATACTGGAGATCTGTGGAGGCGCGACTGCACCCTGCGTGACGGGAGATGTCTCCCGGACCAAGTGGTGACCAGATGGTGTGGCCCCCCAGTCTGCGGGCAGAGCTTATATAACCTTGGCTCGTTGCGCGAGCAGCTTGGGCTGTTAGACTCAGCCCCCCAGACACACGTTTTCTTTTCTCAGAAAACCCACCACTTTTTTTTTTGGGGGGGGGGGGGAAAGCAGTGTTCTTTTTCTGATATTTTGAAAACTGTAAGGGTGTTTGGGCAAAATTTGACCCATCGCCATTTTCACTAATTGGCATATTTTCAAACGCCAAATATGTGCAGTGAGCCAGAATTCGATTAAAAAATTACGCTCATGAGTTAGATTTGCGATATTTCCGATATTTTGAAAACTGTAGGTGGGCTTGGTCAAAATGTGACCAATCGCCGGTTTCACCAATAAAGAAAGAAATTAAATTCATTAAGTGGCATATTTTCGGTATAAAAAGTCGTAATTTCGACTGGTCAAGTCGTCAACTGCAATTTCGGATACCGGGCTAGAAACAACTTCGTTCACTGAGAAGTTTGTACATACAAGCCATTCCGTTCGTATATGCGCTGGTTTGTGTTCGCTGTTGTTCTTGTCTGAAAAAATATATGGCTAATACCAACAGCTGAACCATGTGAGGTCAGCAGACACTGACCAGGTCCACCAACTCCATCTGATTGTAAGGTGTGAAATAATACTATAGTGTATTTTTCAATCGCGCTGCCAATTATTTGATTTAAACCCATTCACTCCAGTACGTTGTTATTTTACTGTGCAGATTTGGGACCTGGCCCTCCAGTATCGTCCATGTGTATATTATTTGATATCTCTCTCGTCTCCTTTCTAGTGAGTACATTTGGAGAGCTTTGAGACGATCCCAATAATTTAGGTGCTTTATCTCGTCTATGCGTGCCGTATATGTTCTCTGTATTCCCTCAGTTTCAGCAATCTCTCCTGCTCTGAAGGGGAAAGTGAGTACTGAGCAGTACTCAAGACGGGACAACACAAGTGATTTGAAGAGTACAACCATTGTGATGGGATCTCTGGACTTGAAGGTTCTCGTAATCCATCCTATCATTCCGTCTTGCTCTTCAAATAATTTTTGGGTTAACATGAAAACATCTCTCGAGTTTATCTCTCTAATGTTGTTTTCCCATCTTTCATTTTATCGGCTTAGTTCCTTTATTATGCCCCAATTACTCATCCATTGAGCGGTAGTTAAACTGAACCCAAATTTAATAGTTCCTTTTGCTAAGCAAGCTACAGTCTTGATAAGTCAGATATATTTCTCTCTCGAGAAAGTGTATCTTCTTGTATATAAATGAATAAATAAACTCGTTTGTTTAATTCTAATGCTTGTAGGTGAGAACAGTTGTGAACGTCAGCTAGCGCACAAGTACATGAGCGCCCAAATACTTTTACACAAAAGACATTTACAGACAGGCGTGTGGCTTCTGACTTCTTTTTTATTGATTAATATTAAATATTAGGCGCTTACCTATAATAGTTATTATTTTATACAAGTATAACTATCACATAATAAATATAAAAGGAGTTTATCAAAAAACTGACAGAAGTGTTGTGTTTTGTGCGTTGTATCTTGTTTGTGGGCATTCGGGTGTGTTGTTTTTACGCTGGCGGGCGGCGTCCTTACTAACTCCAGATTATGTCTATTACATCACTAAACTTCATTTAATAACTATATGCCTATTAAGTAGAAGATTTTAATTATTAATAGCATTATATTGTCGTTTTAATATGGAACACGTACACATATGCGAAACGTCTAAAGCTGGTGTCCGAAGTGGTAAAAATATTAGTGTGCGATGTTGTCAATGTACGGAGTGTCTTGTGACCCCTGACACCACCTCACGCTTCAAACTAGCGTTATGAAATAACATTTGAGTATACCTCTTGGTATACAAAGTATACACGTCAACTACAGTCACTAAGAATTAGCTGAGAGTCTTCAAGATGTGTGGAAGAACGGCCTGGTAAGTTCAGATTCAATTCAAATTCAAAAAAGTAATGCCACTGGTGACTCCAGGAATTATTTAATGTTATGACACATATAATGACACACATGTGTCATTTGATGTTATAACACATATTGATGAGCTCAGTGACAATACGTGTATCTTGTACCGTTCTTGTATAACAAATAAATGCCTTTTCAGGTCAAGTGGTCCCATTTAGCAGTCTCCGTGGTGTAGTGGTAAGACACTCGCCTGGCGTTCCGCGAGCGCTATGTCATGGGTTCGTATCCTGGCCGGGGAGGATTTACTGGGCGCAATTCCTTAACTGTAGCCTCTGTTTAACGCAACAGTAAAATGTTTACTTGGATGAAAAAACGATTCTTCGCGGCAGGGGATCGTATTCCAGGGACCATAGGATTAAGGACTTGCCCGAAACGCTACGCGTACTAGTGGTTGTACAAGAATGTAGCAACTCTTGTATATATCTCAATTTATGTCTCGTAGCCCATGATACCAGCACCTGACGTGACCAGCCTAGTGTAGCCTTCATATAACTAAAACTAACATATTGAGAAAGTCTAGAAAAAGGGTTTAGACTTGAAAGGGAGAGTTGTTAAAGGGGCGACTTGTCCCGCTAGCCATCTTTGCTACCAGGACAAGTCGCCCCTTTCGACGAGTCGCAAAGATGACTGGCAACTACAAATAATAATAAATGATTGTGTCGGGGGACAGGCAGACAGTTTATACATACAGTATATGTTATGCCTATATCCAGGTTCCTCCCTGGGTCGAATTACTGACCCCGGCCAGCATGTAACCCCACAAGAAGCTCTTTAGTGGATTATGCTGCACCTCTGCTTGTTTTGATGCCTGAAAGAAAGCTTGTAGGGCTTGAAAAATTGCAGAACGAAGCCTTGAGGATAATCCTTGGGTGCCCTCGTACCACAAAAGTACTTAACATGAGAAAGGAACTTAATATTCCGAGCATTGTTGATCGTGTTACTGAAATAAACTGTCAAATTGGTTTAAAAATGCTTAGGCTAACTTGTAACGTACGATTAATGTTACGTTATTGAGTAGATTAGATAGACAGTGTTTAGTGAGTTTTCATATTTATTTAGTAGTCTTGGATACAGCAGTGCCGTACACATTGAGATGGAGCGTGGAGCAGAGCAGAGAGCTGAGTGAGGCCTGAGTCGCGGAGCTCTATGTGGGGAGAGCGTGGCGGCTCGATAGGGAATCGTAAGTGTCTATACTTGATGGGGAGTGAAAGCGTTGTAGTTCGATGCGGTCGTAGTCTGCTCTGTATCGAAGCTGTAGCATCTTGGAGTCGATTAGAACTGTACACGCCGAGTGCTACATTCATGACTGGAAATTGTACGGTCGGCTATTCTCATATCGCTTGCTTATATTTGGTGACCACACCTCGGCTTCCTCCAATAAGATAGAAGGATAGAAGAACTGTTACCTATAATTAGGGAAAAGATTATAGCGTCTGTAATTAGTGCTAATTATTTATGCCATTAATATAATGAGAGAGTGGAGCGAGTATAAGGTTTACTCGCAACAAACTCATCCTAACCCTTGCTCAGAAGCTCTCCAGAATTTCTTTATTGAAGGTCAGCATTGTTCCAGATGGATAACTTTAAAAAGCATTTTCCAGGAAATGCTTTTCCTCCATGGGGTTATAAACCTATGGAATCACCTAGCCACCTAAGCCATAAATGCCGAGATATTACTGCAGTTCAAAATCCAATTGAAGAAATCCTCATGAAATATGGGGAAACCTTTGACAAGCCCTCCAGTTTCCTGTTCCCATTGATACCATTAGATAGATGGTGGTCCTTAGGTAAATTCAGATAATTCCAATACTAGTTTTGAAGGCCAGAGGACCTGGTAAAACATTTCAAGATTTAGAAAAAAATTCCTGGGTAACTGGAAAACCTCATATCACTGGGGACAAGCATTTTTATTCATGTGACTGTAGTCACTTTTGCAGTAAGAGATTAAACTAGATCAAGACATGGTTAACACTCAGGAAACAAGAGTCAGCATACCTGGAACAAAGTCAGAGTTGGGAACATTTGCAAGTAGACTGCCCCAGGGCTCCTTTCTGGTACTGTATCTTTATTAATTCCTCACTTGATTTCCATTATGCAGTCACACTATATCTTTTTAAATTTTTCAGCACTCTAGCACCAGATGAAATTTGCAAGGCGTGCAGTAGACTGACAGTTACCGACAGTGGAAAGAAGCAATACCAAGCCACTCAGTGGCAGGACCACCCAGGGAATTATTCTTATTCACCATCATGTAATATGGCTCCATCTCGCTTCACTCCTGTTATGATAAGGTATCACACTTTTTAACTTTTATCTTACATGCTAGTCTAAAAATCATTTTAGTGAAGAGCATTTTTTATTATGAAATTTGCCAGAAATTAGAGAAGTACAGTAATGAAGGAAACTCTTTTACTACAGTACAGTATGTAAACAATGTTTGTTGTTTTTAATACTCTACATGTTTCCACAAGATTTTCTTTGTTGAAATTTTTCCTCATTCACTATCAGATTTACTTTGGTATATCCCCAAGTCTCCCCAGCTTGGTGCCTTCTTTAGATAATTAATTAATTTAATATATCCACAAATCATTCCTTGATAATTTTTAACTTCATTTATTTCATTTATTTATTAACTTACTACTTAATTTTTAATAATAAATGATGTGTGTGTGTAAACAATAAACTATTACTCCTCAGTGATCAGCATGTTCAAGGTACAAAGAGGAGTCATGATGGTGAGAAAGTAGCTCTTCAGCCTGTCATACAGCCCATGATGTGGGGGCTTATTCCTCCATTCTATAAGGTAATGAAGTGTTAATACAGTATAAATCTTTCCTTGTCAGTTACTATCTAAATTAGTTTAAGATTCTGATTACTTTATAATCTAATATCCTCTCTTTAAATTGTGTATTTTGAGTGAGTGTAAGTTCTCTCATATTATTGACCATTTTAATAAGTCCAAGAAATGGTAGGACTCAAAACATTTGATGACCAGTTCACCCTCACCATACTCCCACCCCAACAAATAATAGCAAAAAGAAACTCAATAACAAGATATGAAATATTAATACAAGAAATGTTGGTCGTGGTTGATGTTGCATGTGGCAGCAAGGGTATAACAATTAATTATATCTAATTATTATTCACAATAAAAATAATTATTAATTATTTTCTTATTAAAAAAATTAAACGGTTTTCACTTATATTAGTACAGTACAGTAATGAGCTCAGGAGATATATACAGTGGGCGCGTCATTTAACTAATTTAATCCGTTCCTGCACCGAGCTTGTCATGTGAAACGCTCGTCTTGCGAAACAACAACAACACTGTCGTTGGAGGCGTCCGAGAACCAACGGGAATGCTAGGAAGCACCATGTAATTTACTCGTTAATCGAGCAAAAGCTCGTCAGTCAAGACAAATTTTCTGCGAGTGACTCGCTAGTTACTCGAAATGCTCATAACTGGAGTTGCTCGTCACTCGAGGTTCCACTGTATACTGTATTTGCTAGTTAATATTAAATATCAGTTTAATTTTTTTTATAATATACCTTTATTTTTATCATTTAAATTTTTACTGTATTTTTTTATAAATTTTTACCACTAATTGTAGAAGTGTTTATTATAAATCAATATGTTGTTTCTTACTTTTAAGGGCTCATCTCCTACTGGCCATGGCTTTAAAACTATCAATTGTAGATCTGAAGATATAGAGGAAAAGAAAACTTACAAACCATCACTTAATAAAGGTCAAAGGTAAGCTGTCCATATTTGTATATACAGTACCGTGGTACCTCGATTTACGATGGTAATCCGTTCTCAGAGACATATCGTGAGTTGAAATATCGTAAGTCGAAACGATGTATCCCATAAGAAATAAAGGGAATTGGATTAATCTGTTCCACACCCCCAAAAATATTGACTTAAAAATACATTTTATACTGAATACAATTTTGTTCTCTAACTACAATACAGTACATATGTTTATCTTACCTTTATGGAGGACTCTTGATGCGTATGGAAGATGGTGAGGAGGAGAGGTGTTACTGTTTGGAAGGGGAGTCCCCTTCCATTATAACATCAGGCAATGATGACTTCTCTGGGGTACTCACTCTCTCCTACATTTTGCCTGCATACCACTAGGACCTGCTTGTGATTCACTGCTTGTTTGTCTCACTAAAAACCTTCCATAGATTTTTGTTTTTCCATAACGTTTTAATTTTTGTCTGAAGTGAGGCATCAGTGTCATTAAAAGGTTAAGGCAACGGCCTACTACACCGTGATTTGGGCGAGTCGTTTCAGCAAAAGTTTGCAATTCTTCCCATGCTGCATACATTTTCTTAATTAATGAGGAAGGGATATTCTGTACTGTCTCCTCCTCCCCTGAAGAAATTTCCTCAGCTGCCTCTTGTTGCTGCTCATTGTGAAGTTCTTTGGTGGTCAGTTTTTCGCTGTGTCCCTCCACCAGCTCGCAACACACAACACTCGGAAGACTATGATTGCCACTTCTTTTTCTAAATTTCTCAAACCATCCCCTGCTCGCCTTAAACTCTTTCGCATTTGCATCACTCGTTCTAGGGGTTTTCTTTAAAAGGTCTTCATGCAATTTCCTTGCTTTTCCACAAATGATGGCCTCTGAAACTCTATCACCCGCTAACTCCTTGCTGTGTATCCAAATTAATAATAACTGTTCAACATCTTCAAGTGTTTGTGTTCTATGTTTCGTGATTAAAGTATTGATACGCCTTTTGCCACTTTAGTATTCATAATGTCCTTTTTCTTAGCAAGTATGGTGGATATCGTTGACTGAGATTTGTTGTACTGCCTAACTAGATCAGCAACCCACACACCATCTTCATATTTACGAATGATCTCTTGTTTTTGCTCTATGTTCATCTTTACATGTGTTTTCATATGTTAAACCTTACCACTGACTTTCTTGGAACCCATGGTGTGATATATAATAATCAGTTTTACATTCAAAAGGCAAAAAATCACACAAAAAAAAATTCTTATAAGCGTGATCGTCACTATGTGAGCGGCTCTAGTAAACTGAGGCAGGTCGGCCCACACAACCGGGAACCATGCGCTCGGTCGACCCGAAAGTGTACCAACAAATATCGTTAGTCGATGACACTATCATAAGTCGAGTCACATTTTCCAATCAAATTTATATCATAACTGGAAATTATCGTAAGTCGGGGAAATCGTAAGTCGAGGTGCCACTGTACTGTAAAGTAATGCAAAATATTGGCTTGCTGATTAAGTGCGAGATCTTGGATCTTCATTCACAAAGTTCTTGTATGTCTATTGGGGACCGTGAGCTAGAACCAGTTCCCCCTTACAGAGGTGGAGGGAGCAATGGCTCATGACCAGGGAAGGCACCCAGAAAGGTAGGCAAATCAAAACAGATTACTGCCTGGTTGAAAATATGACCTATGCTCTCAAAATCTGAAAAGAATCCCCCACAAAGAAAACAAACAAAACTTCGTCCAACTAACCCCCTCGCTCATTAGCTCCAACACCCCCCCTCCCCCCACACACAGTGGGGAAGGGGGAGCTGAGCCCCCCACCAGCCAGTTCTTGAATGATAAAAGCCATCGATTAGAGGGAGAAAGGGTGCCAGGGAGTCTCCGGGACTCTCCCAAAAACTGCCGTTTCATTACATTCAGCATTGGTTTTCTGTGGGGAAGCCCCGTTTGCTCCCTGAAGCTAACTACCCACAGAGAAGGAAAACAAGGACTCACCAGGGACGCAGCAGCACCCCAGGTATCAATAGGAAGAGACAGTCGGCCACAACAGATGCCCCAAAGCAGCACCAGGCCGCAAAGGGCCAGGGACAGTCACTAGACACCTGGTGGCCAAGACCCTGTTAGACCTCCAAAACTCCCATGCCCGAATATCATCCCACGACATGTTCCCAAACACCGCGGACAGAGCGGCATCTTCCGAAGCAAAAATCGAAAATATTTTTTTCACATATGCGAAATCAAAATAAAAAACCTCCACCAGTATTGGACCTTTACTTTCAACTGAAGGTTAGTACACAGAGGATGGCAAGGAAATTAGTGAAATCCTAAAAGGCCAGTATGAGGCTATGTTTAGTACCCAAATAAACAACGTGAAAGTTAAAGATCCAGATAGCTTCTTATGAATGACCTCCACACTCCAGATAATATACCCAATAAGTGATATTAACACAAGCACAGATGACTGTGAAAAAGAAATTAACAACATGCCCATGCACTCAGCCCCAGGTCCTGACTCATGGAGTCAAATATTCATAAAGAAATGTAAAGTATCTGTAGTGTGCGCAATCAGTGCTATATGGTGAAAGGGCCTAAATACAGGGGAGATAGCAGCAGCACTTAAATCAGCAGATATAGCTTCTCTGCAAAAGGAAGTTAGTAAAACTTTGGCAAAGAATTATAGACCAGTTGCACTAACATCACACAAACGTTGAAAGAATGATTAGGAATTAAATCTCAAGTTTGATTCAATTAGGAATCAAGTTTGATGGAAAACATTGTCCATCACAACTCAGGACAACATGGGTTTAGAGCAGGAAGATCATGCAGGCGATGAGTCACAATAACGTGGCTGAAGTATGTTGACCAGACCACACACTAGAAATTGAAGGGACGACGACGTTTCGGTCCATCCTGGACCATTCTCAAGTCGATTGTGATGAGGACAGGTAGGGACAGGCATTAAATAGGCAAGAGAGAGCTGAGGAGGAGTCAGGTGTAGGGGATAGTAGTAATGAGAACTGCAGCAGGCCTATTGGCCCATACGAGGCAGCTCCTATTATAACCACCGAAGGAGATAGTAATAGGAATAAGAAGAGGATAGCAAGGGAGCGTAGAAGACAATGAACAGAAAAAGGGAGAAGAGAGAAAGAAAGAAATGGAAGGGGGAAAAGCTTATGTTAAGTCACGTTTGTTAGAAAGATTAGAGCATTTGAGTATATACTGTGAAAGGGAAGAGTCCACAGCAACAAAGCCAGGACTCAAGTTCATGTTGGGTACATTGTTAATCAGAGCCGATTCTACAAGACGGCGTCTGTGTAGAGTAGAGGCAGGAAAGATTATTTTGGAGGAAGACCAATCAATGGGATGATTAGAATCCCTCACATGGCAGAAGAGAGCATTGTTAGTGCCTGCAGACATAACACTTCTCTTGTGTTCTTTAAGTCTGTCATTCAGTGTACGGCCAGTTTCGCCAAAGTATTGGAGAGGACAAGATGAACAGGAAATAGAGTAGACACCAGCAGCATTAGAAGCAGGAGGAGCAGTGTGAACTAGATTGCTACGAAGTGTGTTAGTTTGTCGAAAGGCGAGTTTAATGTCAAGAGGACGAAAGGTATTGGTAAAAGTTTTGAGTTCAGATATGAAGGGAAGGCATAGTACAGTGCTACTAGTGTTGGAAGCAGGTTTAGGATGAAAGAAATTTCGTTTAGCTTGAGAGTGGGCACAGTTGATGAAATGCAAAGGATAACCAAGGCGAGAGAATGATTTGTAGATAAAGGCAATTTCAGAATCAAGAAACTGAGGGTCGCTGATGCGTAGAGCGCGGAGGAAGAGAGAGACGAGGACACTTTTCTTAACAGAAAGAGGATGGTAGGAAAAGAAGTGAATGTACATGCCACTATGCATGGGTTTACGGTAGACAGAGAAAGAGAACCCAGACACAGAGCTGTGAACATGAACATCAAGAAAAGGAAGGAGGGAATTAGATTCCCACTCAACTTTGAAATGGATAGAAGGAGCCAGATTGTTAAAAGAGGCGAGGAAAGGCTGGAAAAGATGAAGGTCATGAGGCCATAAAGCAAAAATGTCATCAACATAGTGAAGCCAGAGAGAGGGACGAGTATCAATAGAAGGAAGAAGAACAGTTTCGAAGTATTCCATGTAGAAAATTGAAGGGAAATTGAAGGGAATTGAAGGTATTCCATGTAGGGAAATTGAAGGAAAATTGAAAATTCCATGTAGAAATTGAAGGGACGACGACGAAACGTCGTCGTCCCTTCAATTTCTAGTGTGTGGTCTGGTCAACAGGAAGATCATGTCTGTCACATTTAGTGTACTCAACCACTGACAAAATCACAGCAGCATTAGAAGAAAAACAAAATGTAGATACTGTATTATATACACAGACTTTGCGAAGCCATTCGACAAGTGTGACAACGGAGTGATATCCCATAAAATGAGATCAGTAGGAATAATGGGTAAAGTGGGGCATTAGAATTTCAAATTTCTTTCAAACAGAATGCATAGAGTAACAATCAAATAAGATCAATGCACTCCAAGTGCAGTGAAAAGTGTACCCCAAGGCATGCCCTTGCCCCAGTGCTATTTCTCATTCTTATCTTGGCTGTAGACAAAAATGACACAGCTTCGTGTCATCCTTTGCAGATGACACAAAAATCAGCATGAAAATTTCCTCTGTAGAATCTCTGAAAAACTACAAGCTGATATCAATAAAGTCTTCGATTGGACAAAGACTTGGACATCATGTTAAAAAATAACATGATGTTTAACGGTGATATGTTCCAGGTACAGTATTTAGGTACTCACCTAGTTGTGCTTGCAGGGTTGAGCTCTGGCTCTTTGGTCTTGCCTCTCAACTCTCAATCAACTAGTGAAGGTATGGTGGAAATGAGGACCTTAAACAAAATAAAGGGTAAAGGACACATTCAGGCTTACTCTTAGAAGAAAAGCATCATGTCAAAGATCTGGGAACTATGATGTCTGACGACGAGGCATTTTATGCAAGACGAATAAGATGTATGGTGATGATAAGGAAAATGATAAGATGGATTATGAGAGCTGTCAAATCCAGAGACCCCCACAGGAATGCAGTACTATTTAAATCACTCGGTACTTACTTTCCCTTTCAGAGCAGGAGAGATTTCTGAAATACAGTAGAGGGAATACAGAGAACCTATACAGCTCGCATAAAAAGATAAAATGTCTAAATTATTGGGACCATCTCTTGAGCTCTAAAAATGTACTCGATGGAAAGAAGATGCAAAAGATATCTAATAATATATACAGTACATGGAAGATACTGGAGGGACAGGTCCCTAATTTGCACAGTAGAATAACAAAATACTGGAGTAAAAGATACAGAAGGAAATGCAGAATAGAACCAGTGAGGAGTAGAGGTGCCATAGGCACAATCAAAGAGCACTGTCTGAACATCAGAGGTCCATGGCTGTTGACTACCCTTCAAGCAAGCATTAGCAACATTGATGTTTTCAAGATGCACTTAAATAAGTTCTTGCAAGAAGTGCCGGACCAACTGGGTTGTAGTGGATATGTGGGCCTGTGGGCCGCTCCAAGCAACAGCCTGTTGGACCAAGTTGTCACAAGCCAAGCCTGGCCCCAGGCCTTGATCGGGAAGTAGGAGAAATCCAGAAACCCCCTTCAGGTATGCTCCAGGTAAGCATAGCTTGTGTTCCTTCCAACATTCTGTGATCATTACACTATCCTGTACTCATTACACAAGCCTGTATTCACTACATTACTGTATTTATTACATCCTCTGTACTCTTTAAATTATCCTGTTTATTTTGTGAGACAGGCTAGCTAGGTATACTTTTTTCCATCACCTTCATGCTATCAACCTGTAAATTATTATAGTACTGTACTAGATATTCCCAGGGTAAATTATAGTCTCCATAGGATTATTATTATCAATAAACAACCAGCACCACAACTTCAATCATTGTAAACACCACAACTACACACACTAAAAATATCCCAACCACAAACATAATCACTACACAACCACAATCAGTACTACTACTGCAAAACATCACTACAAACAACCACTAAAGACAACTACAGTACTACAGATACAAATAACATTTCACCATTCTCATTATATACATTGTGCTCATGAATAAACTTTCAGAACTCATTGGCCTACACCTGAGTACGGCTTCCAATTCCGTGCCTTTACACAGGCGCCTAGACAGAGGGGCAGAAAGATTCCTGACTTGCTCAAGGTGAGGCCTCCTCCTCAGTGGTTCAACCTCTTGTACCCATGTATACCCTCATTGTACTCTTTAGTGCTCTTTAATCATTGTACATCTATGCTCATTACACTGCTGCTTATATACCGAGATACAACCCTAGGATACATTTCTGAACTGTCTCCATTTGTTATTGCATGTATTATTATTATTATTATTATTATTATTATTGTTATTATTACAGTATTGTTGTTATTACTGTGAATTAGATTTCTGTGTTACTGAGAGAATTAATATATAGCAATGCCACAGGTGTGTTATCTTGTGTGATGGCTTTTATGAGTGGCAGACCACGAAAGGAGAGAAAGACAAGCAGCCTTATTTCATATATGCTTCTCAACCGAAAGGGGTAAGGAAATTAACATTTTATTGAATTTTGGAAAGTCACTTTCCTGGAGGAGCCCATTGTGGCTCACTGAAGAGATGGTTCCCATCTACCAGGTTGCATTAGTTGTGGGGTTCTTGGGCCTACCAGGGTCCAGAGCCAGAACCTAACCTCCCTAACAGAGGCACAGGGAACAGTGGCATTTTACCACGTCACTGGGAAAGGCATTTATAAAGTCAGCGACTCAAAACAAACCTCTGCCTAGTTCAAAAAAAGAGATCAAAGTCTTGAAACCCGCCTAATGAGCGATTAAATCTCTTGAAACTAGCATCAGCTCATTCACCCTATCTCCCTCATTCATTTGGGGAAAGGGGGCAAAAGGCTCACCATCTCCCAGGGTCTGAGCAGTCAGTTTTTGCACTGATATGGCTGGGGTCACCTGACAGGTGTAGTGGTTCCCAGATTGCCTCTCTTTCGTTCAAGCTCCACTGTTTCAGCTGTGTGTTTTGGGCTTTTGGACTTTTGTGGTTTTTCTTGTACACTGCTGTTTAACATGAGCCTGGCTTGTAGAGCGTTCGAAGATGCATGTGCTCTGGGTTACCTTCCCTGTGTGCTCGCTGATGCTGCCATTGCTTGCCAGTCATCTTTCTTGGAGTGTTTAGAAGTTGCGTCCTTAGAGGTCCACCTCACTTGTGGTGGCTCTTGCCCAGGGTGTATCAAGGGTTTTGTGCCTTTTCTGTCTTAACCAGTGCGACTTTCCTGGCATGGGTCACTGGTGGTTTGTGGGCTTCCATTAAGCAGACCGAAGTCGGCCTTCTCAGCCGTGTAACACCAGGCTGTGTCGTCTTACTTTTAGATACGGAATAGCATCTCCTGTGCCTTGGGTGTCCTGCTTGATTTACCCTTCGGGCCCCGGAAATCCTTTGTGGGTTCGGTGGCCCTATAGACATCCCCCCAAACCTGCTCTCACCTTGTGCGAGCTTGAGGGATGCTCATTGCCTGTGCCACAAAACAACTATCACTCATTTTGTCTCCACCATGCTACGTGTTGGTTCAGTGACACCTTCGACCCTGAATCCTGTGGGGTTTCCTTTCCCCATGTGACTTCTTTCTGATCCTCCTGATGAGGTTAGAGCATATTGGGGCAGCATCTGCTTTGTGAGTTCATTTTGCATGGTTACGAGGGTCCAAACTATGTACTGTACCTGGTTGGATGTCGCAGAGTTGTCCTGTCTAGTGTTTAGGAACTTGGAACTGAGTGTTTGTGAACTTTGCCTTGGCTCCATTCACATTTTCTCTTCCTTCCCCTTTGGGTGGAGTTTGCCTTTCTGATACTTCCCACCTGCTTCCCTATTTTAGCTCAGTATGTGGTTCGACCAGTTCTGGGGGTTGTCCCTTCCAACTGCCTTCCTTCCGTGGAGGCAGTTGAGCTGGCTAGTCCTGCTGAGGCTTCAAAGTTTTCTTTTCAGCCAGCCTCCCCTACTTTTGTAGCTTCTCTTCTGGACTCCTCTTTTATTTCCCAGTCAGTGGGCGCAGATGCTGATTCCACCCTGGGACCCACGAGTGTGGCTTAGTGGCTTGGGGGAGTCTGATGTGGGCCTGTGGGTCCCATTTCACCCTTAAGTGGTTCCTGGTTGCCCACTAGTTGGAGGGTCTTTTTTTTTGTAAGGGGTGGAAGGGATTTTTGCATCCTCCCTCCCTCCCTGCATGAGCATAATTTGGGTGCAGCTTTCCCCAAGGTTTGGTTCTTTGTGCCTTTGGGCAAATTGGGATCATATTCCAAAAGTTTCCTTCCTCTCAGGTCTCTCCTTCGGCAGCATGGGAGGCACTCTTCCCATACCCCCTGCAAGACCTGGATTATGCCTCTTTGATGGACCCTTCCTCTTTTGAGTTTGGGTTTTTGACTTTGTGGATGCATCTTGATTCCTGTGGGTTTTTTTCTCCTCCTTGGAGTCATGAACAGTTTCTTTAGTACTTCACTATTCATGAAATTAAAGCGATTCTGAAGTTGGAAAGTGCAGCATATGCTCCTCGCATAATGTCCTTTATGGGTTCCTCTGGTGACAATCTACTATCCAGAACCACTCCTAGATCTCATTTTTTGTTAGAGTTCTTTAAGTCCTTTCCACATATTTTGTATGTTGTGTGTGGTCTATTTTTTTACGGGCTATTCATGCCCGTGCCACCTCTTGGGTGGCTTAATCTTCATCAATCGGTCTATTTTCTTCTATTCCACATTTAATAACTTGGTATTTATTCACATTAAGTCACTGGTATGATGTGTGCTTTCTTGGACACCAAATAGTGATTCTCTTTAGCCCCTCTTGCTCTGGGACATAAACTTCACTAAAAGATTCACCAAAATCTTTGTTCCATTTTTATAAAACATGTGGGGTCCTAAACATAGGCTACCCACACTATAAACATATGCATACCACACTGCTACCAGGTAGTGCACTGTATAAGGCTAGCTGGAGTACCAGGTCAGGTCACCAGGAGCAGTCTCCTCTCATTCCTGTAGTAGCTTCACCTCTTCTCTTCTAAGTGTTGTCAGGCCATTGTGCAAATCGCCCAAAGACAGAAACCAAGACTGGGCTGGAGAGAGGCTTGGTGTAGCTTGCTCCTTTGAGGTCAAGGACAGTGAGTGCCCACCCCAGCCATTAACATGGGCTGACCTAGCTGACATCACACTTGACCAGTAGCTCCCAATGGCTACCTCCTAATATTGCCCTGCTATGTCACATTTCAAAAGTACCCCAGATCCTTTTCAAAACTTCATGCACCTATTTGAACATTAGCAACTAGTAGACTGAATAAAAGATATTAGGCTTTTCTACCTATGCTTCATCTATCCCCCACATCAACTAAAACAGTCCTAAACATAGATGAGATGGGAAATACCTCTTGTAGAGGTGAATTGTGTCTTATGAAGGACTGTGAATCATAACAATACCAATCTCAGCTCAGGTTTAAGTGAAGTTTTGTAGCGATTACCTACCCTGTGGAAAGTGAGTTTTGGGAATACGTGTACTGAAATCACAAGCAGTGATGGCTGGCTGTTGTTCTCATTCTACGGTAGACAGCATCATTGTGAACTTTTTCCAGTTTTACTAAGTCTTAAGAGAGCTTTGTAGAATTTAGGATTTATGTATTTGATTTGAGGCCAGTGCCGTTCAGTATTAAGGGCTAGAAACCCAGTAGGCTATATTTCACCCCATCCCAGACTCCATAGAACTGTCACCGACTTCAAGATTTTCTTCAATGATAAGTGTTATTTTCATTATATTATTATTTTACATTTAATTATTGATTATTACAGGTTGAAATATGGAATCAAGAAAGCTGGAACATGCCAGATGTATGGAGTGAAGAGGAAGGCTGGAAGGGACCTCAGTTGCTAAAAATGGCAGGAATCTTTTCACATTGGTTTTCAACAGAGGTAAGTATTGTACTGGCATTGGAGGCCACAGTAAACTTTTCAAGCTGTCTGTGAAGGGTCATTATAGGTGCTAAGGGATCACTAAAGAATTAAGCCTATGATGATCATACTGATCATGTAACACTGTAAAAGTGTTTGGTTTAGTTTAATACATACATAGAGTACATGAGTCACAGACAAGGATCTGAGAGGCGCCAGTTGTCTGCCTGAGATCTCACACCTCAAAGCGTTAATGACCTCAAGTGACCTGAGGTCAGATCATGCGAATTTCACCTTGCTTCCGCTAAGCTTATAATTGTAGTCTGGTAGCCTTCAAACATGCCGACGTTTAAGGAGTGGCTTGGTAGTGCCGGAGGCTATCTACTTGTGGGCGGAGTTAGTACTAGGGTCCCCAATATATACTGAGGGAGCATAGAGGATTAACATTAAGAAGAGCAGACGAGCCAACAGAGCAGAGCAGAGCAGACGGCCCTAGCAGGGAGGCTGTCGGCCGGCAGGGCGGGAGTCTCCGTCAACTACAGACCCCCCCCCCCCCTCTATCCAGCTATAGGCAGACACACTTGGTGAGTGAACATTAAGGTGACTTGGTCGTGTTTACATATGTTGTGTGATGATCAGGGGCAGTCAATTGTAGTGTTCTCGAATTCTTGGATGATGACTCACTTTGCATATTAAACTGGAACATTTTAATTGAATTGCTAAATTATGATACTTCATGTGAATTATAATTATGAATTTATTATTTAAGTTGTGTTTAACTTTGTTCCCTAGAGCTTTGAGTTGAGGTGAGAAAGCCTCTGTGGTTTCAAGATTTTAATGAGTACATGTTTGGAGTTGATACATGGTACAGAGGGAACATACTAATAATGAACTCATGATAACATCTTTTGAGAACTTTGTGATACAGGCAAGTTCCATTCCTTGTCTTGTATGTAATAATCATGAATGGATGGTGGCAGCATTTCGTCTTCTACTATCTACTCTTCTACTTCTACTATCTACTCTTCTACTTCTACCTATCTACACCTCTCCCTCCACCCTTCTCTAAACTCTCACTTTCAACTAGTGACCCTCCTCGCTCCTCCCACCTCTCTCCCTCTCACCCCAAGCCCTCACTAATTACTTCACTATTCATTTCTTTCCTTTCGTTTTCTCTTATACGTTTGGGGCGATGATCCTGTATTCTAGAGTTCTCTCTCGAGTTTCGGGTAACTGATCAAGTGACGGCGCCTTGTAGTCTTAGCACCTAGGTAGTCAAATACCTAGGTTACAAGGTGTTGAACGAGAGAGGTTGCCTTAGGAACTCTGGAGGTGCTCTAGAATAGTTAACTATCTGGGGACGGGATAACGGACTAGAGAGAGCTGTTTCCCCCGGCCTCGTTAGTTAACTGGGGGGTGGAATAATGGACAAGATAGAGCTATTTCCCCCACCCCCCGTTACAATGATGGCAGCGGTGTTGAACAATGTGGTAGGTAGTTGGTGTTCTTTTAACATTGTTCAGTCCCACGTGTCTTTTTGCCGCTCAGGCGCTATCAGGGAGATCTTGACAGGTGTTTTACTTTCGCGATTTAGCGAGTTTTTTTTCAGGCTAGGAGATAGTGATTCTCTAGTGTTGTGGTTTAGTGATTTTGTGAGTTTTGTGGTGTTCAAGGAATGTTCACCAGAACTTGCGTGTGTAGTGATTAATGTTAGTGATAAGATTTGGTGATTTGGGAACTTAGCGGTGTTGGTAGTGCAGGTCAGCTGAGTGTGACAGGTGACCTCGCATGTCCCACGGGGACACCCAGCCACCACTGGTCTCCAGGTCAGTGGGGAGTGGCAGGTGTAGTTCTTAAGTAGTTAAGTGGTGGTTCTGCTCAGGTTATTGCGATCGACTGTTTACTCCATTTGAACGCAATAACCCGAGGTGTACTGGTATTGTACAGCATGCTAGGGGGAGGCTTAGTATGTCAGTAGACTTCACGTTGGGGACGCTCGACGTTAGATAGTCTGGTCACAGGGGTGGCAACAGTTTTGAGTTGTTTACCGGCGGAGAAGCTAGGGAAACACTCTGGGTCACGTAGGTGGCTGTAGGTTAAGGGTGGGAGTAACGTTTAATTATGTACTTAAGATTAGGAACGGTACAGTTAAGTTAGGCTAGCGTTTTGTCTATTAGTGTTGATTTTTTTTTTGTGTGACAAGTTAAAAGTAGTGATGACCTTATTCTCTCTTCTCTAACTTTACTCTGTTACTGTTTTATATTCCACCAAGTCAATATCATTCAGAGTTAATTGGATTATTAAAATTTAAGTGTAGTTGTTGCCAGGAGGAGAGCTTATAATTGGACTGTGTGAACCCTATACAAACTACAGGGTCACACAACAAGATGGAACACGGGTATTGTCGCCTTTCTGTTCACCCACAGGTGGGAGCCAGAAGAGAGGAGAGACGCACATACAGAAGAGGGAGACGGCTGCTGTGTACCATACTCACGGGCGTTTATCACCACCACCACGACCAGCCCACTACCTGGAGGTCATGGCTCCACCACCACCACCACCCCAGGGGACCCCAAGATGCAGCCCTCTCGGTCAGTCAACATTGGTCTACCCAGTGGACCCCAGGACGGACGGACCCCAGCGGACCCCAAGACGGACGGACCCCCAGTGGACCCCAGGTCGTTCTGCAGATGACCCCAGACGACCCAGTAAAGATGGAAGAGGAGCAACAACGACTCCAGTCTGTCCCACCAACATCGGTCTACCCAGGATGGACCCCAGGACGGACGGACCCCAATGGACCCCAGGTCGCTTGTCAAAGACCCATGAGAAGGAGGAAGAGAGAAGAAAGAAGAGAGAAGAAAGAAGAGAGAAGAAGGAAGAGAGACGAAAGAAGAAAGAAGAAGAAGAAGATAAGACAAGCTGAGTGAGACACGATGCCTCGTGTCCCTTGCTGGTGTCAGCATCATTGCAGGGAGCGTAATTGCAAGACAGGATCGGTTGCCTTAACTGGCCGCCCCTCCTACAAGCATGTTGCTCTGTTGAGTGATTCTTCCTGTGTCGTGCGGACTTGATGTGGCTGTCAGAAGTAGCTCTCTGAAGGAGGCGTGCTGGAGCAACAGGGAGGAAGAAGAGTAGGATGGGATTTCTACTGTTGGCAACTATATGAAGGTCTCGAAACTTGTAGTCCCTATAGCTGTGAAGAACCCCAATATACGTCTCTCATGGTGACTGACGTAGGGCCAATTACAGATCAGCTGGGACAACCGAATTCCACGGTCCTGTGCGCAGTTCAAGTAGTAACGGCTTTCGGGTTGACCAAGGGTTGTTGTGCGTTAACGACGGAGAAGCGACGGAGGCAGTTGTGTTGAAGAAATGTGGTACAGGATTATCTACAAGACCAAGCAGTGACGTCGCCCAGCCAGAGACAATGGACGTCTGTCTATATATTTCATTTTTTAGAGTAGGATGATGTATATTTGTTTAGCTAGGATGTATTTTTTTTTCGTTAATAAAGTTGTTGCACACAGCTAGCTTGCTTTAGCAGTGTTGCAAAAACTTTATTTCGGGGAGAAGGGGAGATGTAACACTGTAAAAGTGTTTGGTTTAGTTTAATACATACATAGAGTACATGAGTCACAGACAAGGATCTGAGAGGCGCCAGTTGTCTGCCTGAGATCTCACACCTCAAAGCGTTAATGACCTCAAGTGACCTGAGGTCAGATCATGCGAATTTCACCTTGCTTCCGCTAAGCTTATAATTGTAGTCTGGTAGCCTTCAAACATGCCGACGTTTAAGGAGTGGCTTGGTAGTGCCGGAGGCTATCTACTTGTGGGCGGAGTTAGTACTAGGGTCCCCAATATATACTGAGGGAGCATAGAGGATTAACATTAAGAAGAGCAGACGAGCCAACAGAGCAGAGCAGAGCAGACGGCCCTAGCAGGGAGGCTGTCGGCCGGCAGGGCGGGAGTCTCCGTCAACTACAGACCCCCCCCCCCTCTATCCAGCTATAGGCAGAGACACTTGGTGAGTGAACATTAAGGTGACTTGGTCGTGTTTACATATGTTGTGTGATGATCAGGGGCAGTCAATTGTAGTGTTCTCGAATTCTTGGATGATGACTCACTTTGCATATTAAACTGGAACATTTTAATTGAATTGCTAAATTATGATACTTCATGTGAAATATAATTATGAATTTATTATTTAAGTTGTGTTTAACTTTGTTCCCTAGAGCTTTGAGTTGAGGTGAGAAAGCCTCTGTGGTTTCAAGATTTTAATGAGTACATGTTTGGAGTTGATACATGGTACAGAGGGAACATACTAATAATGAACTCATGATAACATCTTTTGAGAACTTTGTGATACAGGCAAGTTCCATTCCTTGTCTTGTATGTAATAATCATGAATGGATGGTGGCAGCATTTCGTCTTCTACTATCTACTCTTCTACTTCTACTATCTACTCTTCTACTTCTACCTATCTACACCTCTCCCTCCACCCTTCTCTAAACTCTCACTTTCAACTAATGACCCTCCTCGCTCCTCCCACCTCTCTCCCTCTCACCCCAAGCCCTCACTAATTACTTCACTATTCATTTCTTTCCTTTCGTTTTCTCTTATACGTTTGGGGCGATGATCCTGTATTCTAGAGTTCTCTCTCGAGTTTCGGGTAACTGATCAAGTGACGGCGCCTTGTAGTCTTAGCACCTAGGTAGTCAAATACCTAGGTTACAAGGTGTTGAACGAGAGAGGTTGCCTTAGGAACTCTGGAGGTGCTCTAGAATAGTTAACTAACTGGGGACGGGATAACGGACTAGAGAGAGCTGTTTCCCCCGGCCTCGTTAGTTAACTGGGGGGTGGAATAATGGACAAGATAGAGCTATTTCCCCCACCCCCCGTTACAATCAGAAATCCACTCATAAAAGTTCAAAGTCCTTCCAAACTCTTCCTTAGCATCATAGGAGCAGTGCCTCCCTCTACCTTCTTTGTACACAGCACTTAACAAAATAGACAGAATAATAACTTTTAATTAATCGAACTTAGAATAAAGCAGAGATAAATGTATTAAAATATTTATACAGATTGATATTTTATAATTATGATGTATTGTGCATTTAGCAGGGTTAGCAGTGCTGAGAGAGTGGCAGTGAGGAAGAAAGATTTTTATATTTAAACAAATATTTAATACAAGAATTTTATCATGAGATGTGCTGGGATAAGAGATAGCTACAACTTTCATTTACCCTAATACATTCAAGCATATATAGTTTTGTAATTATTTTCATTACTATCTTTAGGGAGAAGAAGTGTGGAGCTATTCTCTGTTGACCATGGATTCTGGGAAGAAGTTTTCTGATCTACATCACAGAATGCCAGCCATCCTAGAGACAGATCAAGATGTTGAAGTAAGCTAATAGATTTTTTCCATGTGTCTGCTGTTGATATATATTTACGTGCATTGTTGGACGACTGTTACTTGTTTACTAGCAGGCAGATCGATGATTTGCTATTGTATTCCTCAAACACTGTGAAGAAATGACCAACCTTTCGAGACTAGCATGAGCTCATTAGCACTAACCCCCGACATGGAGGGGGGGAGGGAACCAGAACTCGAGTCTTCCCCAACCTTCCAAGTCAGTTTTGGAGCAGAAGTAAAGATGACACCCATTAACTGACAACCTGGAAGGAAGGGAGGAAATCAGGAAGTTACTTGTGCTTATCGAGAAAGAGGCATACCATTATATTCAATGCTGGTTTTATGGGGGGGGGACCTTTTGTAGCTGTTGAAAGCTAACTACCCACAGAGAAGAAGACAGCGATTTACCAGGGAGGAGAAACCACGGGTATTTAAGATGAAGAAATACCTGGCTGAGAGAGATGACCCAACACAACACAGGTATGATGTGGCCTGGGTACAGAAAATACAGGGGTGCCAAGACGCTGTAAAACTAGCAAAATATCCATGCTCGAATAACAGCCCAGTCAATGGTAGGTAAGAACAGGAGATGTTGACAAAGAACACAGAGAGCAAAAAATTTACGATTATCTTGGGCACAAGGGTACACCGCAGGGTGGCTAGGTTCAATGACACTTCGGATAACTTGAGAAACATGAACCTTGGAAAAGGGAGCCATGGAAGAAGAATCAACACAGCATCCATCGTGGCAGAACTGGTGGCACAAAAGTAGAAGTGAAGAGCTACTGCCAAGATTATCACCGAACCAACCAAGCATCAACATCCAAGGGGCTCCTCCAGAAGCCCGCCGACTTTTTTGCATCTTTTGGTCTCTGGCCCTCTCACAATTTATGTCAAATCAATCCTGTTTCCTAATTCTACAACTCTGCTTTGGTATCAGTTTTGTTGTGCTGATATTTCATATCCTGTATATCATAAAACTGGACATACATCTCATTTACGTCCCATCTCTATACTGTATCATACATCTATACAAGTGCACTTTTAAATATTATATTTTGTGTTCCTTGGTATTAAATACCGTACATGAATGGTACGAGGAGGAGGTTTTCACCCCACATCATTACCCCCTCCCCCCCTTATACCTTACACTGTCTTGGTTGTTTCTTGGCCAGTTTCCTATGCCTCTTATCATTCGACCTTGGCAGGGCTGCTACTGTTGGCTTCCAGTCTCAATACTACTTCAGTGTCATTCAGCAAGTTTTCCTATTTTTTTTCACCTCTGATTTGCTCATTCTCCTCCTGAGCCATGTTGGTCTCTGGATTGGGTGTTGGTCTTCCTTTCATTCCTTCGGTTCTCAGTTGCCCCTTGAGTCCGTGATACATTTTCAAAGCTCTGTTTTTGTTGGTTCTCACTAAATGGTGTTGGGTTTGGGAGTGCCATGCTCTCTCCTGGAAGTGGGAGGTTCTGTTCCTTTGGCCCTGGCTCTGATTAGCAATTTCTATTTTTGCAACCTTATTCTTTTATAGCAACTAATGAAACTAATGGCCTTTGGAGGGGTCCTTTGGTTATTCATTAATGTGTCCCGTTGCAGCTGTTTGTTGCTCCCTGCATGCTCCCCAGGCTGTTTTCAGGAATGTTGTGTTCATTGATTCGGTTTATTTGGTTACCTCTTCCAATGCTCGTCTTTATCAGTTTTTCGGTGTAATTCATTCTAACCAGCCTGCAGTCTACCCTCAGGGTCCACAGTGTTCATAAGCCCACCCTGAGCTCTCTTCTTTGAGGGGGTTAATCTTTGTTCTCCTCCCTGGTAGGTCCCAGTTTCTTTATTCTCTGTAGTTAGCTTCAGGGTGTCACCATTTGGCCCCCTCGAGAAAACTGGTGTTGAATGTAATGAAATGCTTCTTTCTGGTTGAGCTTCAGTGGCTCCCCTCCTTTACAAGGAGTGTAGGTTTGTGGTCATCATCTCTGGACTGAGGTGTGCTGACATGGAAGTCGGTAGCTCCCAGTGGTGCTGCCATCTGCTGGTGGCTAGCTTTGTTAGATTTGAACTAACTACTGGATGGATCATTTGCAAAGTCATTTGCTATTTCATTTCTTGATTTCTGTGAACAATGCAGTTGTCTCTTTTGCTTTGCTTACTTTCTGGGTGTTTCTGTGGTGTAGGTGATGGTAAAGAATCCCCGCTCCATGCACCTCTGTGAGGGGGGCCAGGTTGTGTGTGTGCGTATGCAGAGCTATCTCAGTGTTAAGCTCAGGGAGCCACCAGAAAGAGGGGTTTCATTACATTCAGTGCTGGATTTTCATTATTTGCTCATTATTATGCCATAAAATTTCTTGTATAAAGATACATTCTAGAATAGGAGCACATTGCTTGCAATAATATGATGAAATTACTGTAGTGTATATTTAGGGTAATAATCGTATATTTGTAGGACTGGCTAGACTTTGAACGCATTGGCTACAAGGATGCCCTAATGATACTGAAGAATGACGTTGAATTAACATGGCATCCTGTCTCAAGTGATGTTAATAATGTCCGCAATCAAGAGCCTAATTTGAATGCACCTGTCAGCAAGGACAAGTGAGTGCTTTTTGTACTTCATGATTTAATAAGGATAGAGTACTGTACAATTCACATAATTAGCTTTTCACTAACATACAATATTAGTATATATGCATTCTCACACACACACAATTGTCAGATGTACTGTATATGCTAAAGCTCTTGACAATGTTGGAAGGAGTTCTTTTTTATCTTGATAGTGCAGGTTTTGGAGGATATGCAGATGGTGTCCCCTCCATATATGAATAGAAATAAATTGCTGAATGTATAGGGTGTCCCAGAATTAGATATCAATTTCTATGAAATTGGACAGACTTGTTAAAAACACATGTTTATTGATGTTTATAATTTTTAATGTGCCTTTTTGCCATTTTCTATCCCTTTGCCATTGTCCTTCGGTTTTGGAGTGGGTTGTTTTGTTCTTTCTTGGATGTTCCTTCAGTCTCTTATGCAGCATACTGTCACTTCTTATTGTGCGGCATTGGCAGAGCCACTCCAGCTTGCATTTGGGGTTGATACGTCTTCAGCCCCGTTTCGCAAGCTTACAAGCACTTTGTTTCACCTCGGGGCTGCTCATGCACTGCCTGAACTTGCTAGTCTCTGGACCGGGTTCTTTCTTTAATCTCTTTTACTCGCTTTAAGGTGGCCCATTCTGTCCGTGATTGTTTCTTGAAGACTATTTTTTTGCTTTCTTTGGCTTCCAGTTGTCGGGTGAGTGAGCTTCATGGTCTTCTCTGTTGCCAAGGGTTTTGTTCTTTTGGTTCTGGAGGGCATTTTGTTCATTTGCAGCTGGTTCCTTCTTTTCTAGCAAAGAATGAGTCAGCAGGATTCCTGAGGGGGGTCCTTTGGTTGTGGATGCTTGGTTCTGCATAATGCACTTTGTCCGGTACCGCCTTTCAGTTTCGGTGGACTCGTTGTGGATTGATTTGGTTTTCCTGGTTTCCAAGACTCGTATTTCTCAGGTCATCCACAGTGTCATTAAGTTTTCCTTCGTGGCAATGATGTCTGTACTCATGTCGCTCTGATAGCTGTACAGTATTTTCAACTTGGTCTTGGTCCGATATCCAGGCTCAGGGGTTTTGGCAGTCGAACGGATTGTCATCCTCAAATTGATTACTCCGATACTGCCTTCTCCCTGGTAGGTATCCTGCTTTGTCCTTCTCCCTGGTAGGTATCCTGCTTTGTCCTTCTCCATGAGTAATTAGCTTCAGGGAGCCTCGAGGGGCTCTCCCCAGAAAACCAGTGTTGAATATAATGAAACACCAATTTCAGAGTTAGCCCTGGGGGCTTTCTGACATTTTCCCTCTCCCAGGGAGTCAGTGGGATTCATCATCATAAGAACTGAGGGTGGAGTGGGCAGACTGACCAGGTCTGTCGCCCTCCCCCGCCTAGGGGGGCTAGGTTCTGGCTCATGGTTCTTGGTAGGCCAATAAGAACTCTGCAACTGATGGCACCTAGTAGTATGGCACTGAATCAGTAATAATAGCTTCAAGGAGCCTCTAGGGCTCATCCAAAAATTGGTGTTTCACTACATTCAGTGCTGGGTTTTTTCTGAAGTATCCCATCTGATTACTTTCTAAGGCAAGTTTCTACTGTTTCTGTGAATAAGATCATTCTCCTGACAGGTTATGTGTACATTCTGAACCATTATATCAGGAATGTCTCTGCAATTCTACTAGGTTATACTTGTGCTTTGTAACTAAAGAAATTTTTTTTACAGCCTTTTATCTGGTTATTAAATGTTGTTTATATGTCTTCTAATTTATTACCCTTTGCAGGAAGCCACCAGACACACCTAGTAGTAGACTCATGTCTGCTTGGTTGAGCAAAGGTACAGTAAAAAATGTTAAATCAACACCTATAAAAAATGAATCATTAAAACCAACTGAACAAAAAGAAAAGAAGCCATCGTCCCTTGAGAAATGGCTTAAGAAGGAATCTGATCAAAGTACTGGTGATACTTGAACATATATTCAGAGCTTTTATGTGACATTTGGATATCATATCTACAACACAATTAAATTGTTGGAACATGATCATGCGTGTTATGAAATTTAAATGTTCATCCAAAGCCATACTGAGCAAGGAAACTGTATTTGTTATGAACCTGTACAATAGTTAACATCTGTAGAGCAAATATATTTGATATTACAGTACAGTATATTCTTTTGACATGTAGATCATTTAACTTGCAGTATATTTTTAAAATTGCATACATTTGATTTGAAGATGAATATATTTTTTTACTTTCATTTTGCTTTTCATAGCAGTGAGTAGTTATTCTACAAAATTCATGTTACTTTCCTCTACACTCTATTAAAAAGGATACAAAAAAGTCAAATTCACTTGTTTGTTTTTAAGATCTAAATATTGTACTAAAGGTCAACTACCTTATACTGTGTTTCAACATGTCAGCGGTGTTATATTTTCCAACATGTTGATAGGTACAGTATTTAGATGCTTTAAATTTTGGAAGGTTCTTTATTTGTCAACATTTACAATTGAATTTTGTTTCCTTGGCAGTGTATTTATTATTCTTTTTATATCTTTGTTTTTATATCTTGTATCTTTTGATATCTTTGTTTTTATATCTTGTATCTTTTGATATCTTTGTTTTTTATATCTTGTATCTTTTGATATCTTATATTTTTTGCTTTGTAATACTAACTTTGTGTTTCATGTCTGTTGTTTCAAGCATTCCATTATTCTTACTCAGTTGTTGTTTTTAGTAAGTCACACATTCCCCTCTCATAAAAGCAGGTTAAGAAATTTTCTGTTGGACTAAACATTAACACAAATAGGAAAATAGAATTTCCTGGAATAAGCCCGTATTAGCAAATTTACTGTACTGTATATACTTATTTACCGTATATCTTGCAAATGAACATTATATCCAGTGACAATAGCCACATTTATTGACACAGGCAACTCTCAGTGATCTGAATTGCTGAAGAATCTATCAACGATCTGCAGTAAACAACTGTTTTATCTTTTTCTACAGTACAGTTTAAGCCTGATAAAGACTATTATTATAAAATACACACTCAGGAAATTTATATACAGTAGTTAGTTCCAGATCATCAAGAGTTTCTTGCACCATTCACTGACAATAGCTTCAGTTACATTTGGAGTGGTATGTTCTGCCTCTCATTCCATTTATGTTGTCATTACATAGCAAACTGAGAAAGTTCCAACCCTCATCAACCCTTCATTTCTTTATGTTTTAAGTGTATAGTGTATTTAAGTGTATTTATAGTCTAATACCTCATTCACAAATTATTCTGGCCTTTCATTATGGATGATAAAAAGATTTGTAAGCAAACCTCTTGGATCCACAGTTATTGGTATCGAGTCTACTCTAGTACAGTACTGTACTTTTAACACATCACAACTACATTGTTCTCTTGAATATACTCCAGATATGGTTTACTCAGTTTTGCTTTATGTTTTATTTCATGTTTTTCATGCTTTATGTTTCATTTATTTCATTTTCATTTATTTCATGCTTTATGTTTATATTTATGTTGTATTTATTAACAGCAGATATTTACTTTACTGTTTTTACTGTTCACTTGTTTATTTTATTTTTTAATGTTCTGCTAATAAAAAAATTCAGAATTTTCATGATTATCTTTCTTAACCATTACCCTATTTTGCACTTTCATGGAGTGTGGAGGCATCAGTCCACAAATAACAGGAATATAGTGAAATGTTATATTTATAATTTATACTGTATATAGCAGTGAAGCAGCCATTTACATAGTATTAATGATATTCCCAAAAATACAGAAGTAATTTAACTAGATTTTAAAATGCTTTCAACCAGGTAAAAAGATGACGTATTAGAAGCCCCAACTAACCTTCCATGTCTTCTACCCTTCTACCCTTTCAGTGGGATACCGTTAGGATTGGGAATTATTGTTTAATTAAGGACGTATATATTATTTTCCTCAGTTGATGTCCAGCAGGGAAATCCGTTTTCCTTTCTTTTTCTACTTGGCTGCTAAGGACGTCACAAGCAGGTTGATGATTGAGCTTAACATCTGGTTTCTGGATGATGGCACCCTGGCAGGTACACACACAGTCCTGGCTACTGGATCTACAGCTGGTGAAATCTAAGGGAGAGGAGTTGGGCTTTTCCTTAAATCCCTCAAAATGTGAAATATTCTCGGCTAGCAAACCAATCACAGATACAGCAAAATCCTTCATACCAGGTGTCTCGATGAGCCCAAAGGTGCCTTATTAGGGGCACCTTTGGGCTCGATTTCCATTGATGAAATCTTCAAAGTAAAACTTAACAATTTGAGGATGGAAGAAAGAATAAGTGTGTTAGATGCACATAATACTTTGTACCTAGCGCAGTGCCTGGCTTGCCTATTTCCTAAGGTGTGCACCCCTCTCTCAGTAGCCTAAAATTATCAGAGTATGACAAACCCCTAAAAAACAATATCCAAGAAAGTGTTAAACCTCTCCCTGAAAGATGACCATTGTAACTAAACAACACTACCAATTGGTATATATGTGGCAATGTATTGGCAGACCAACAACCAGGCAACCATGGTCTCATCTGTCATAAATTAGAAGGAAAGATTGTTCAAGAGATAGTCAGTGACATCATAAAGAAATGTTTGGCTACAGCAAAGTGTCCAACACAAAAGGAACCTCAACTGTGCAGATCTTAAAAGTCACAATTGCAGCCATGAAGGGGGAGTAAGCTGCTATGTGGGACCACTTTTTTATTCATACATACAAGAGTTCCTACATTCTTGTATGGCCACTAGCATGCAAAGCATTTTGGGCAAGTCCTTAAAACTAATTTTCACACACACACCCCTAGGAAGCAGGTCATAGCTGTCTAACTCCCAGGTACCTATTTACTGCTAGGTAACCGGGACATCAGGGTGAAAGAAACTTTGCCTATTTGTTTCCGCCTTTTGCCGAGGATTGAACCAGGGCCCTTAGGACTACAAACCCCGAGCGCTGTTCACTCAGTCGGTTGGCCCCCTAAGCTACTTGTTTAGGGCCTAAGCTACAGGCCCCACTCAGCTCCAGGCCCCCAGGCAATTTGTTCTTCTACATTGGCTGATGCCTATATACAGTACAGTGGCTCTGGTGTTGTGGGACTGCCACTTTTAGAGGGGACCCAGAAAACTATTAAATACAGGAACATTGTTACAGGTTCATGCCAGTAGTTTGAGACACCCTAGGTGCCTGGGATAAATGTGCACCTAAGTTCCTGAAGGAGGTGGGAGAGGAACATACTACATAAAATGCGAGACCCAAGAGTGGCCAGTTTCCTGTTCCAGTGCCTCAGTGTTACGATCCAGAGAAGAATTGCTTTCTGTATCTGGGACACACACCTTACTTCTGCAGAGCTGGATGAGGTTTCTGGGGAAATAACCCCGATCAAAAGCCAGAACCTGGCCCCCTTCACAGAGGTGCAGAGAGTATATGACATTACCATCACACTGGGAAAACATCCAGAATGTCAGTAAACCAATACAGACCACTGCTGAGTTCAAAGAGACCAAAGCCCCAGAACTGTCAAAAGAACTTACTCGACAATGTAAACAAATTATAAAATCTCTCAAAACAAGCACAAGCATGTTAGCACTACCTCAACAGCTTTGGGTTGGGGGGTACCTGCAACTTCAAGTCCCTCCCTGTCTTTCACACCAGTTCTGTAGCTGATGTAGATGTGTGTGAATATCCACTGTAGAATGCTCGAGCCATGATGGCTCATCGTATGTTGGGGATTCATTTTCTGGCCTACCTCAACGACTGGCTGGTGTGGGCCCCCAGTCAGTCCACGTGTCTGCTAGCCAGAGATCTAGTTCTTTACTAGCTTGCCATGTTTGGGTTCCTGGTGAATTGGCATAAGTCCCATTTCGTTCTGTCCCAGGAACAGACTTGCCTGAAGTGTGGGAATCGGGCAGTGTCCCTTTTCCTTCCTCTAGTGGTTTTTCATCCAGTTGCAGTGCCGCCGCCTGCTGATAGTGAGGTGGCTTCAGGTGACTAGGTATTTGCTCAACGACTAAGGAGCTTGACCTTTTCCTGCTCGTTTTTTTTTCCGCTGGGCAGAGTGTGTCTTATGGGGCTGTTCTGATCTTTTCAGTTGTGCTCATTCTACTGTTGCCATGACCATTGGGTTTGGGCCCCACTCGCCCTTCGTTGGTTGCTCCAGCTCTAGCTTCTTCTAAGGACATTTTGGTGATCAGTTCCTTGGCACCTTCCTCCGCTCTCACTTGACAGTTTTATGGATGAATCTCTGGGATGATGCATCTATAAATAACCAGATAAAAGTCTGTACTTCATGACCAGTACTCATTAGGCCACCTAGGCTCATTGGCCAGCTCCGTTCCATCGGGAACACAGTACAGCGCAGGTGTGGCATTCCCTGAGGAGGATCAGATTCCTCCAGGTTCCATGCTATACTGTAATTTCATTCAGACTGCTCCCCAGAGGTTCAATGTCTGCACCTGGGGGGACGTTCTCTGGAGCTAGACAAGACAGGTAGCTCGTCTCCTGGATTCATGGGGTTTGGTTCTCCATGTTCACTTTCGAGGAGTATCCAACGTTCTTGCAGTATAATGCCTCTGTTCACCTAGCAGTAAGTAGGTACTTAAATCAAATCAAATATTTATTCAGGTAAAAGTACATACATACAAGGTGAGTTACAAACATAATGTTGAATTTACAGATAAAGCTAGTACATACAATGCCTGAAGCCACTAATACGCACAGCATTTCGGGCAAGGTGTGGGGAAAAACACTTAGACTAAAACTTAATACTAATTGAGATCAAAGCATAAATTGAGTTTAAAAAGGAAGGGAAAATAAAACATGGTGAAAATCAGCAGTTATACAAGTTGGTCAACAAATAGTATTGTTTGAAAATAGCAAGACTTGGGTTGACATTTACGGGGTAAGGTAGGTTACATAAAGTTTATTAGGTAGTACTTAGTTTTCTTCTTAAACTGGTTGAGAGAGGTACAGCCTAGTTAGTCAGCTTTTTGTGGGTTTACATCCTGGGTGGGGTCAGTAATTTGACCTTGGTAGGGGACTTCGATATAAACCTAACGTGTATGAATACACGCTGGCTGCCTGTCCCCCGATAAAATTAATTAAAACAGGCTGTGGCAAGCAAATTGATTAATAAAAGAACTAATTTTTTAAGGGGTATGACTAACTTCATAGTGTTCAAAAGGAAACTTGAAAAACACCTCCAAAGGGTACCTGATCAATTCATACCTCACACTGCAAACAGGGAAACTAGTCTAATGACCTAATTGATCTTGACACGAATTAACACAAGGCCGCGGGGAAATTGATCAAGCTAAGTAACCATCCTATGTTTCAAATGTTTACCTATTAGGAATATAAGTACCCATGAATTAATAAAGTGTTGTCAATTGCATCCTGGGAAAAGGTCAGTCGTTAGCTATAAATGACCTTGTTAAGTCTTAACCATTAATAGAATTGTGAGCAAGGTATTTACGAGATATAATGCTGGTAATCACAATTTATTTTTTCTTATTTGTAGAATGTTCTACATTTATTGCATTATTATGTTTGTATCTTCTTAGTATTAGTGACAGTAAAATTTATTGATTTTGTGTAACAGGTGCAATCGAATGTGGCGCGCAACAGGTGCAGAATATTTTGTGTGGATTTACATCCCGGGAATGGCGGACGCTGACTGGATAACAGCAATAATTATACACACAAGTCAGCAAAATAGATCAAATTACAAAATACATGAATTTTCTAACTTCAATATTATTTTACGTGTTTGGCTAGATATAGCTCGTGCTTGAAATAACGTTAGAAAATTAATTTGTATGAAGGTGGGCGCAACCCCCCATACGGTGTGAGAGGTTGAGGCGGCGGCCGCCAGGGGCTCAGTGGTGCTTGTTTTGGTGCGGGTGAGGGATGGTCGCGCGGCCGCTCTCCCTTATTGTATCTCAATATTTAGTGGATTACCTCTGATGAAACTTGCAATATAACTCAGTAGTGATGGATACAGTACCATTTAGCGAATTCCCGCATCAGCTGTTTGGATGAAATTAAGGTAAGAGGGCGTGCGGGTGGAGGCTCCTGGAGACCCACAACAAGTGCAGATGGTACAAGTGTCGAGTTTCAGGGGGAGAGAGCGGCCACCCGCGCCCACAGGCCGCCCGTGTGGGCGCCTTGCCGCCCACACCCTGTCCTGGCTCCCCTGTGGTTGTCTGGGGGCGTGGGGGACGGCCAGGGTTGACTTGTGCCGTGTGTGGCCCCGTCATGCTCCGGGGTGATGGCTGGCCCTGGCTGCTCTGTGGGGGTGTTCCCTCTCTTGTGTGGTGACTGTGGTGTGTGGGTGGTGACTGTGGTGTGTGGGTGGTGACTGTGGTGTGGGTGTGTGGTGACAGTGTGGTGTGTGTGGGTGGTGACTGTGTGGTGTGTGTGTGTGTGTGTGTGGGTGGTGACTGTAGGTGTGGTGTGTGTGGGTGGTGACTGTGTGGTGTGTGTGGGTGGTGACTGTGTGGGTGTGGTGAGTGTGATGTGTGGGTGTGACAGTGTGGAGGGAGGTGATGACAGTGGTGTGTGTGTGGGTGGGTGGTGACAGTGTGGAGTGTGTGTGTGTGTGGGTGGTGACAGTGTGGAGTGTGTGTGGGTGGTGACAGTGTGGAGTGTGTGTGGGTGGTGACAGTGTGGAGTGTGTGTGGGTGGTGACAGTGTGGAGTGTGTGTGGGTGGTGACAGTGTGGAGTGTGTGTGGGTGGTGACAGTGTGGAGTGTGTGTGGGTGGTGACAGTGTGGTGTGTGTGTGGGTGGTGACAGTGTGGAGTGTGTGTGTGGGTGGTGACAGTGTGGAGTGTGTGTGTGGGTGGTGACAGTGTGGAGTGTGTGTGGGTGGTGACAGTGTGGAGTGTGTGTGGGTGGTGACAGTGTGGAGTGTGTGTGGGTGGTGACAGTGTGGAGTGTGTGTGGGTGGTGACAGTGTGGAGTGTGTGTGTGGGTGGTGACAGTGTGGAGTGTGTGTGGGTGGTGACAGTGTGGAGTGTGTGTGGGTGGTGACAGTGTGGAGTGTGTGTGGGTGGTGACAGTGTGGAGTGTGTGTGGGTGGTGACAGTGTGGAGTGTGTGTGGGTGGTGACAGTGTGGAGTGTGTGTGGGTGGTGACAGTGTGGAGTGTGTGTGGGTGGTGACAGTGTGGAGTGTGTGTGGGTGGTGACAGTGTGGAGTGTGTGTGGGTGGTGACAGTGTGGAGTGTGTGTGGGTGGTGACAGTGTGGAGTGTGTGTGGGTGGTGACAGTGTGGAGTGTGTGTGGGTGGTGACAGTGTGGAGTGTGTGTGGGTGGTGACAGTGTGGAGTGTGTGTGGGTGGTGACAGTGTGGAGTGTGTGTGGGTGGTGACAGTGTGGAGTGTGTGTGGGTGGTGACAGTGTGGAGTGTGTGTGGGTGGTGACAGTGTGGAGTGTGTGTGGGTGGTGACAGTGTGGAGTGTGTGTGGGTGGTGACAGTGTGGAGTGTGTGTGGGTGGTGACAGTGTGGAGTGTGTGTGGGTGGTGACAGTGTGGAGTGTGTGTGGGTGGTGACAGTGTGGAGTGTGTGTGGGTGGTGACAGTGTGGAGTGTGTGTGGGTGGTGACAGTGTGGAGTGTGTGTGGGTGGTGACAGTGTGGAGTGTGTGTGGGTGGTGACAGTGTGGAGTGTGTGTGGGTGGTGACAGTGTGGAGTGTGTGTGGGTGGTGACAGTGTGGAGTGTGTGTGGGTGGTGACAGTGTGGAGTGTGTGTGGGTGGTGACAGTGTGGAGTGTGTGTGGGTGGTGACAGTGTGGAGTGTGTGTGGGTGGTGACAGTGTGGAGTGTGTGTGGGTGGTGACAGTGTGGAGTGTGTGTGGGTGGTGACAGTGTGGAGTGTGTGTGGGTGGTGACAGTGTGGAGTGTGTGTGGGTGGTGACAGTGTGGAGTGTGTGTGGGTGGTGACAGTGTGGAGTGTGTGTGGGTGGTGACAGTGTGGAGTGTGTGTGGGTGGTGACAGTGTGGAGTGTGTGTGGGTGGTGACAGTGTGGAGTGTGTGTGGGTGGTGACAGTGTGGAGTGTGTGTGGGTGGTGACAGTGTGGAGTGTGTGTGGGTGGTGACAGTGTGGAGTGTGTGTGGGTGGTGACAGTGTGGAGTGTGTGTGGGTGGTGACAGTGTGGAGTGTGTGTGGGTGGTGACAGTGTGGAGTGTGTGTGGGTGGTGACAGTGTGGAGTGTGTGTGGGTGGTGACAGTGTGGAGTGTGTGTGGGTGGTGACAGTGTGGAGTGTGTGTGGGTGGTGACAGTGTGGAGTGTGTGTGGGTGGTGACAGTGTGGAGTGTGTGTGGGTGGTGACAGTGTGGAGTGTGTGTGGGTGGTGACAGTGTGGAGTGTGTGTGGGTGGTGACAGTGTGGAGTGTGTGTGGGTGGTGACAGTGTGGAGTGTGTGTGGGTGGTGACAGTGTGGAGTGTGTGTGGGTGGTGACAGTGTGGAGTGTGTGTGGGTGGTGACAGTGTGGAGTGTGTGTGGGTGGTGACAGTGTGGAGTGTGTGTGGGTGGTGACAGTGTGGAGTGAGTGAGTGAGTGTGTGTGTGGGTGGTGACAGTGTGGAGTGAGTGTGTGTGTGGGTGGTGACAGTGTGGAGTGAGTGTGTGTGTGGGTGGGTGGTGACAGTGTGGAGTGTGTGTGTGTGTGTGGGTGGTGACAGTGTGGAGTGAGTGTGTGTGTGTGGGTGGGTGGTGACAGTGTGGAGTGTGTGTGTGTGTGTGGGTGGTGACAGTGTGGAGAGAGTGTGTGTGGGTGGTGACAGTGTGGAGTGAGTGTGTGTGTGTGTGTGGGTGGTGACAGTGTGGAGTGTGTGTGTGTGGGTGGTGGTGACAGTGTGGAGTGTGTGTGTGTGGGTGGTGGTGACAGTGTGGAGTGAGTGTGTGTGTGTGTGTGGGTGGTGGTGACAGTGTGGAGTGAGTGTGTGTGTGTGTGTGGGTGGTGACAGTATGGAGTGAGTGTGTGTGTGTGGGTGGTGACAGTGTGGAGTGAGTGTGTGTGTGGGTGGTGACAGTGTGGAGTGAGTGTGTGTGTGTGGGTGGGTGGTGACAGTGTGGAGTGTGTGTGTGTGTGTGGGTGGTGACAGTGTGGAGAGAGTGTGTGTGGGTGGTGACAGTGTGGAGTGAGTGTGTGTGTGTGTGGGTGGTGACAGTGTGGAGTGTGTGTGTGTGTGGGTGGTGGTGACAGTGTGGAGTGAGTGTGTGTGTGTGTGTGGGTGGTGGTGACAGTGTGGAGTGAGTGTGTGTGTGTGTGTGGGTGGTGGTGACAGTGTGGAGTGAGTGTGTGTGTGGGTGGTGGTGACAGTGTGGAGTGAGGGTGTTTGTGTGGGTGGTGGTGACAGTGTGGAGTGAGTGTGTGTGTGTGGGTGGTGGTGACAGTGTGGAGTGTGTGTGTGTGTGTGTGGGTGGTGGTGACAGTGTGGAGTGTGTGTGTGTGTGTGTGGGGTGGGGGTGACAGTGTGGAGTGTGTGTGTGTGGGGGGGGGTGGTGACAGTGTGGAGTGAGTGTGTTTGTGTGGGTGGTGGTGACAGTGTGGAGTGAGTGTGTGTGTGTGTGGGTGGTGGTGACAGTGTGGAGTGTGTGTGTGTGGGTGGTGGTGACAGTGTGGAGTGAGTGTGTGTGTGTGTGTGGGTGGTGGTGACAGTGTGGAGTGAGTGTGTGTGTGTGTGTGGGTGGTGGTGACAGTGTGGAGTGTGTGTGTGTGTGTGTGTGTGGGTGGTGGTGACAGTGTGGAGTGAGTGTGTGTGTGTGTGTGTGGGGGGTGGTGGTGACAGTGTGGAGTGAGTGTGTGTGTGTGGGTGGGTGGTGACAGTGTGGAGTGAGTGTGTGGGTGGGTGGTGGTGACAGTGTGTGGGTGGGTGGTGGTGACAGTGTGGAGTGTGTGTGTGGATGGGTGGTGGTGACAGTGTGGAGTGTGTGTGTGTGTGTGTGTGTGGTGGTGACAGTGTGGAGTGTGTGTGTGTGTGTGGTGGTGACAGTGTGGAGTGTGTGGGTGGGTGACAGTGTGGAGTGTGTGGGTGGGTGACAGTGTGGAGTGTGTGGGTGGGTGACAGTGTGGAGTGTGTGGGTGGGTGACAGTGTGGAGTGTGTGGGTGGGTGACAGTGTGGAGTGTGTGGGTGGGTGACAGTGTGGAGTGTGTGGGTGGGTGACAGTGTGGAGTGTGTGGGTGGGTGACAGTGTGGAGTGTGTGGGTGGGTGACAGTGTGGAGTGTGTGGGTGGGTGACAGTGTGGAGTGTGTGGGTGGGTGACAGTGTGGAGTGTGTGGGTGGGTGACAGTGTGGAGTGTGTGGGTGGGTGACAGTGTGGAGTGTGTGGGTGGGTGACAGTGTGGAGTGTGTGGGTGGGTGACAGTGTGGAGTGTGTGGGTGGGTGACAGTGTGGAGTGTGTGGGTGGGTGACAGTGTGGAGTGTGTGGGTGGGTGACAGTGTGGAGTGTGTGGGTGGGTGACAGTGTGGAGTGTGTGGGTGGGTGACAGTGTGGAGTGTGTGGGTGGGTGACAGGGTGGAGTGTGTGTGTGGGTGACAGCGTGGAGTGTGTGTGTGGGTGACAGGGTGGAGTGTGGGGGTGGGTGACAGCGTGGAGTGTGGGGGTGGGTGACAGCGTGGAGTGTGGGGGTGGGTGACAGCGTGGAGTGTGTGGGTGGGTGACAGCGTGGAGTGTGGGGGTGGGTGACAGCGTGGAGTGTGTGGGTGGGTGACAGCGTGGAGTGTGTGGGTGGGTGACAGCGTGGAGTGTGTGGGTGGGTGACAGCGTGGAGTGTGTGGGTGGGTGACAGCGTGGAGTGTGTGGGTGGTGACAGTGTGGTGTATGTGTGGGGGGGGGGTGGTGACAGTGTGGTGTGTGTGTGTGTGGGGGTGGTGACAGTGTGGTGTGTGTGTGTGGGTGGTGACAGTGTGGTGTGTGCGTGTGGGTGGTGTCTGCGTGTGGGTGGTGACAGTGTGGTGTGTGCGTGTGGGTGGTGAGTGTGGTGTGTGTGTGTGTGGGGGGGGTGACAGTGTGGTGTGTGGGGGGTGACAGTGTGGT